AGTGGCCAGGATTCTTCTCCCTCCCCCCACCTCTTCATAAAAGAGAGAGAGGGAGAGAGAGACTTCAAACAATTTGTAGAAGGCCTACATATTACAGACCTAATTTCAAGTGATAAAGGTTAACTTTATTAATTATCATTTGGGTGGAAGACATGTAAGAGCACAACTGGTTGTAGGCAGCTCCTTAACCCCCACAGTACAGAGACTGTGTGGTATCCACCAAATCAGATCATGTGAAGAGACTAGAAAAAGAGTCTTTGGAGGCTTCAGTTCCAAGAAGGGTAGTTGCTGATTGCTCTTCTATTCCTGAATGGCTTTTTGCTTTGGCTACTCATTCAATATTTCCAAATGAAGAACCAATGTCTGGGTTTACATCCTCCATCCCTTCCATCCATGTCTTGCTGGCTCTGATACTGAACATGGAGACTGGCTACTGATTTTTTCCAACACTTCATATGCAGTGTCTAATTATGAGAACCTTAAGAATCAGCCAATCTTTGATCTCAATAATTTGGCATCTTTGATGACCTACAAGGTCCTTTCTAAGTCTGATTATCTGTTAGATCTACATTCCTCAGTTAGGTTACAAGGCAGCTAACAGAGTGCTCACTCTTTTTTTTTTCCACAAGTATCTTGTGGGATACATTGAGGAGAGCAGTTGTCCTGAAGACATCCAGTGGAAGAGGCCAGACCTGGATCTCCTTGGTCAGAATCCTGTATTGTTCAAACTACAATGATTCAATGTACGGAACCTGCCAAACCAAAACCAAATCGAGCTTATTACAATTCAGTTTGTTGTATGAATACAACCCATGAGTTTGTAATAGAGACAATATTCCAACCGAGGACTTGAGCTTTTACATAAATCCCTTCTCATATCAGATGACTCTTAATATAGAGGGAAAAGGAAACAGGAAAAAGAGTTGCCATTGAGTCAACAGTCTGATAAGAGTGGCTTGAGTTTGGGCCAAGAAAATAACTTGAAAAAAACATTTCGGGTAAGCTTTTCCGTAAGTAACATATAGATAAAGGAAGGAAGGAGGAAACATATTCAGATATGCAAGATTCTGTCATTGAAGCTGTTTCAATAAAAATAGTTCCGATACATATAGTACTGATTTCTTTGACTGGTCTTCCTCATTTGGCTGAGTTTCTGTGCCTCCCCTCACCCTGCAGTTCAAACCATGGATTATTGCTTTACATTTTTTTTCCAATCATGGTACACTGCAATACCATAGTACAGTGTTTCTCACCCTTGGCAACTTTAAATATGGGCATGGCAACATCCCAGCCAGCATGCTTGTTCAGCTCCCTACAAGTGCAGAATCATAAATTCTCACCTCCCGTTTCCAGGTTTGGTGACCAAAATTACAAGGAGCTTCCATGTAATGTGTGCACAGCCAAATCTCCTCTTCCTCCTTTATGTTGTTGGAAGAAATGTCCTTCTGGGTTCAGTTCCAAGTGGGGAAAAAGACACTGGAAACATGGAGGCTGTTTGGAAGGTTTAATGATGGACAGGACCACATGGCCTGGAGCTCCAGAGTGAAAAGGAAGGATGATCACATGCTTCAAGGTGAAGGAAGAGATCAAAAAAGGTGCTGAGGTGCTAAGAGTGCCTGGGTTTTATAACCTTTGTTGGGATTTGAATTGAAGCTTTTATTCTGATTGATTATCAGACTCCCATGAGGCCATGCAGGGACAACTCTGTAGGCTGTCCTGAGTTCCACGCTTGGTTGAGCCTTGCTGGATGATGATGCACTGAAAGGGCTTTTGAGCAATTGCTATAGCTTTCCCTGGAGATCTTTGTTATGTAAAGTATTCTGGTCCCGGCCTTAATGGCCCATCCATTAACAAAGGTGGGGGTGAGCTTCTACTTCTGAGTTGAGTGTCTGCTTCTGAGTTTCTACTCTTTCTAGAGGAAATATTCTGCCTTTTTAATATTTCCCAGGATATTTCATTTTTCTAGGAGAGGGGTGGGTGCTAACTTCCTACATTACTAAATGGAATTACAGAAAAAGACTGCTTACTATCTCCCATTTCTATGGAGTGGATACCTACTGGTTAGATCTTGGCTGGTTATATACTGGGTTGTAAATTGTTTATACTCTAACCCAGTATTTCTCAAGTGTGGCAGTTTTTAAGATGTGTGGACTTCAACTCCCAGAATTCCCCACCCAGATGGTCCACACATATTGAAGCTGCCAAGCCTGAGAAATGTAGCAGTAATAGTCCAAGCATAGATCAACCTTGCAAGGTTGTTGTAACCTAACACCCTAACCCCATCCCCAACTCTCATACTACAGTATCTCAATATCAAGGCTGTGTTTTGCACAAATACTTTCAAAAACGTTTTTAGAAAAGGCTTCAAACAAAATATTACTTGAGTTTGATATAGCCCGAAATCTGTAATTATTGTCTACTCATTTTGAAGAGAGGGAGGACCATCTTAACTACGGTAAGTTGGCGGGGAGGGGGACGACGACGGACTTCTAGAGCACGGGTCTCCAACCCTGGCAATTTTAGAAAGATGAGGAATTCTGGGAGTTGAAGTCCACAAGTCGTAAAGTTGCCAAGATTGGAGAGCCCTGTTCTACAGCGACTTTCCTGATACCAACCCCACCATTTTCTACCTAGGCAAATGAGCAAAGCCTCTCCTCTCTCTCTCTCTCTCTGCTATTGGCTCTTCCTTGATTAGACCCGCCCCGGAAGCTGGTATTTGAAAATGCAAGCAAGGTTTCCTGAGAGCCCGGGGTGGGGGGGGGGGGGGGGGAGGTTTTATATTGGATTTTACAAGCTCGAAGGTGGGAGAAAAGGGGTTGGACGGACCTGGTGAGTGCTGGGAGAGGGGTTTCCCCCCGCAAGAGAAAACCCGAAAGAGGCTGAGAAGCAGATCGGGTGGATAAGAAGACCAGTTGCCTCTCCTTGTCATCCTCCGTAGCCCCAGCCCGTAAGAAGGGACCAATTTTCCTTCCTCTGCGCGTCTGAAAGCGGAAAAGGGGACCTTTGCAATACCTGGTGACTGGTGGGTTTTGTCGTCTCTCTGAACCTGCCCTCCCTCTGGCTTCATTAAACACCCGTGGAGAAATAAATTACAGGGAAAGCTTAGCTGAAAATCTGCAAGGAGTTTATCGGGATATCGATCACAAACGGGTCGACCTCTTTTATCATGGTCTTATCAGAGGGATGCGGTTGGAAGACGAGAAAGGGTCGGAGGGGTGGGCTAGGGGCCACGCCAAATGAAGCCTAAGTCCAGGCAGATGGCAGGGAACAAAATCTGCAGCTCAGGAAGTAAGTTTGTAATATAATTCTTAGCTGAAACCTTTTCCCCTTAAAGCTTAGAGTGATTCTGGGTTGGTGGCTTAGCTTTCACTAGTACTAGTTTGATGGCTGCAATCTTTTGTAGATAAAATCGACCTAGTTTCCATGATGCATGAGGTTATGGCCAGGCTAAATTATTATAACCTATACCTTAAGTTTGTTCAGACAGCAGTTGAAACAGGATGTAGGATGTGTGTGAGTGTGAATGTACCAGGAAGGGAGATGTGGAGAGAGAAAAATGAAGCATTTCAATCATGTTATGCATATTCTTTGCCAGTACCATTAATTGCATATTTATTTCCAGTGTTGAACTTTAGTCATTAAAACCTCACATGGTTTAGCTTGAAATAATTCCTTTCCTCATATTAAGTTTTGTGGATTCCGAGCTTGGCTTCAGAATCCCTGCTTTCCGACTCACCCCAAAAAACGTTACTTATGAGCATTGGGCTTTGAGAGTTGAGACATTCAGCAGTTTGTTCTTTTTGTTTGTTTGTTTTTATTTGAAAACAAAAAAACCCCATTGCTTTGTTTGCTTCTGCTGCAAGGAATTTATCATCATTCACTAATTTTTCAAACTACATCTCTATTTGTATTATCCTAATGTTCTTTATTTTTTTCCAGAAATTATACTACTACACCAATATTTGCAGGTGGGATTATTGTAGCATTAAATATTAGTAAATTTAAAAATGCAAGTAATTTTAGTTCTGCATTTAGTTATCATTGTGGCAGATGTTGCCACAATGATAATTAAATTTCTGATATCTAAATTTCTGATAGAGTCATAAATGTTAAATGTTACTATGTTTGAATTTACTTCAGTGCATTTTAGAGAATATGAGATATCTGTATATTTGCTCAATAATCTTTATCGAGGTCTTGCAAAGCAAGTAAAAATCCTTATTCCCTTATTGGAAAGAGAAGGGAAGGTATAATTAATAACAAACATAATTATTTCAAAAATAGACATACACACTTTAATGTATACATAATTTGTATGTAATTAGATCAAAATGAACTGTAAAGAAAATTACTGTGGGAAGAAGTGAGATGTTGTTTATGTGCTGTTAACAATTGGGGTCTTAATTTTTTGTATAACTATAGTTCTGTTTTGCACAAAACATATAAGGGATAGTATTGTTTGCCCTTCCACTTATACTCAGACATTGAGGATGGACATCTCTAGTTACAGCTCTATACACAAAGACTTTTGCACAGATCGGGACTCTATTTTTGGAGGACTTCAGTTCTCACAGTTTACCATGCTTTTTGTACTGATGAAAGGGATAAGGAAGCATGCAATAATTGTATGCAGTAATTAGAGGCTTCTGTTTCTTAAAGTCATCTGGACACTAGTCCTAGATCTAACCTGTTTGGGAATACATCCCATTTAATTAAATATTTGGTAGGTGCATTTGTACAACATAATAAGCTTGGATAGAATTAATCTCGTAGATATTTTTTTGTAGTTTACCATAGCAAGCAACCCCTGCTGTTAACCCTGCTGTTAAGATATAGAGGTAAAGTCCTTGACTTATAACCAGTTAGTAACTGTCTCAAGTTACAGTGGCACTGAAAAAAGGGACTTATGACCACTTCTCATACTGTTGCACTATCCTTATGGTCATGTGATCAAAATTATTGACAACCAGCATATATTTATGATGTTGCACTATTCCATGGCTATTTGATCACCATTGGAACCTTCCCAGCCATCTTTTGACAAGCAAGTCAATGGGGGAAACCGGATTTGTTTAATAGCTGTGGCAGAAAAGGTCAGTGATTAGCTTTTCTAGAGCAGGGGTCCCCAAACTTGGCAACTTTAAGACTTGTGGAATTCAACTCCCAGAATTCTCCAACTAGCATAGCTGGCTGGAGAATTCTGGGAGTTGAAGTCCACAAGTTTTAAAGTTGCCAAGTTTGGGGACCCCTGCTCTAGAAGAAGCTGGAAAAATTCAAACAATTTTCAATACAGTAACATTACTTTTATGTATAAATTCATTGTATATTATTTATCTGTTTTATCATAAAAAGCAACATACAAAACAAAAAAAAACAAAACATTGTAAAAGAAACAGGAAAGAATAAGGATTTTAAAATTACCTAACTAAGATAAATACGTATAGCTGGGAATTTTGTCAACCTCTGTTAATCCATCACATTACATGTGGCATAATTTGTTGATTATCTTTCAGAAGAGAAAACCATATTTTGTGTGTTACTTGTTGTAGTTTTGATTTATCATGGTAAGGTCTGTCATAGGAGATTTTACTCTATTTTATTTTACAAAAGAGCCACTCCAACAATGGAAGAAGGTGGACATAAGTAATTATATGGATAATAGTAGGAGAGAGAGAAGACAGAACCTGAAACCATCAAGGATTGTAAACTCACCTTGATTTCAAGTGATAATCTATTGCAATTGTTTTGCTGTTAGATCATTTGTACTGAAATTCTATAAGAATTCCTGCTCTACTTTATTCCCACCTTACAAACAAAAAGACTGAGTTTTAATGAATTTGTTGTTGTTTTTCTTACATTTGAAAAACATAGGTGATAATGTTTATTATAGAGAGGTGGAAAGAGATGTTTGGGCCACTAAGTCCAACAACTTTGAAAATCAGGATTGATAACCAAACCTGACATCAAAAGGAAGCATAAAAGAGCTTTCTGTTGCATAAATTTGTGGAATTGGATATCGCTTTTGTAGGGTCAGTCTAGCCATAAGAGGACATTTTCATTGGCTAAAGTAAGTTCCTTGTCTGTCTTCTTGAGTCAACTGCATGCAAGGTTACCATGAACAATGTGTAACTAGTTTCCAACAAAAAGCCTCAATAAATTTAATATATACATTCAAGTAATTCAGTCCTGATGTTACTCTTGCATGTGCTAATGGGGCTATTAAACAAAATTGGATCTTTAAAATTTTTTATGCCCTTTCAGCTTTTTTTGCCTTGTCTTGAAAGGATTCATTCCTACTACTGGAAAAGAAAACTTCTAACTTCTATCAAGACGAAGCTCCAACTAACATGGAAAGGAGACTTCTGTGTGCTATAACCAAGGAGGTGGATAAAACAGTGGATGTCTGCTTCTTGGGTAATGAGGAATGCCCCTTTCTGTATCTAAGTTTCATTGTGCTCAGCTAGGGCTTCTTCCTTCAGAGAGCAGAGAGATTGATGTATGCTTACAGCATCCACACTCTTTGATCACTAAATGGAAATGGGTAGACAAAATAATTTTCCCAAGTTTTAATGAGTGCGTCAACTCTGAAAGGAGTCTGGCTAAAGCCATCTTGGAGGCTCTGGGGTTGCCACACACTGGTGGGAGGGAGAAAATAGATGGGCTTTTGTAGCCAAAACAATAAAGTTTTCCTGTAGGAACCAATGACATTCACACGGGGCTGGCCAGAGGAGGAGACAGTAACCAAGCAACTGCCTGCACTTGGATTGGACAACCTGATCAGTGACTGGGGGCGAGAAAGGAAAGTTTTTACTTTTAATTAGGCGAAAGCCACAGGGAAAACTCAAAGTCGGCTTTTACCAGTTTGTGCCAATATAAATCATTCTTTGAGGAACTTTGCCTTCCTTAGAGTTTTCCTTTCTATGGGTGCATTACTGGAACATTACTTGACATTGTATTATTTGGTCTTTTAAAAGCAGACTACCAAGGCCACCCACATGATCTAAATTTACAACATACATTTAAATTCTTTTGGAACTTATTTTATTTAAGGTCTTTGGGATATGAAAAAAGGAAGGAAAAGTGAAAGGCCTGATTGCAGTGAAAGGAAGGAGACGAAAAAACCCAGATATGCAACATAGCTTTACTGAACACAATTATTTTTGAAACATATTTGGGCTCAATAAATATATTTTCTTATGTATCTGGGGATTCTTTTACCTCCTTCACAATTGCTTAAGTCTTTATCTTAGAATGCTTGATAACATATATTTATTTTTAATTTTTATTTGGGGCTTTTAAGCAGTCATGGTTTTTCATAATGACTAGAGGCAACAGTGTTAGAAAGCATATCATTGTTTTTTTTCCCTTTTATCTTGTATACTATACTCGGGTAAAGTTCAGGCTATGGAAGAGAGAGGAAAAGTATGCTCAAGATTTTGGATTCCTAATCTGATGTATGCATGAGACAGTTAAATGCCTTCTGAAATGTGCTTTTTTTCCCCCCACTTAATTTCATCCACACATACATATAGAAAATAATTTTTAAGTTGCATATTTTCTATTTTGGGGAACAAATTGGGTTGTTTTTTTTTTTTTCATTACTCCAACAGGCCAGGAGGATTTAATCAGAATCAGCAAGGAGAGACATATACCAGAAGATTCAAAACCAATGGAATTATATGGCAAGTCAGCCTATAAAGGAAAAGATTGTGGCTTCCAGAACTGGGAGTGGTCAAAGACCTTAGCAAGCCAAGAAAGAACAAAAAATGCCCCAGGAGAGAAACCAAATAAAGCCATTCCCTGCAGAGAAGGGAGCCCAGTTCCTTGTGCAACTAGTGTCCAGTTGAGAACTGACACTGGTAAGGACTATGGGTATATTTTATGAGCTTTGGTCATTTTTTATCATCTTAACACTAAGCCACATCTTATTTTCATTATGGTTTGTTGAATAAGTTACTGTGTACTTATGTACTTACGCAACTTCTGGGCTGCAACTGGCTTCACAAAGCATAATTCCATTTCAGTAAACTGTTGATAAAATACAGTAATCAAATATAACCATAGTAATTCCAATTATGCTTAGAAACAGCATTCCTAGAAAACAGATCAAGAATTATTATTGAGGGAGGAGGGGAATCCCATTTCTCAAGTCAGTCTTATGCAATTTCTTGGCTGGCCTAGTCTTAATAACTTTGTTAAATTGCAAGAGGGTTGGTGCTGGGCTAATCATAGCAGGAATGTTCATCCATAGCAGTGGGGCAGCAGGAGAAAAGGCTTGGCTTTGTGCTTGATGGTTGCTCTCTTTGGAGTAGGGATTCCAAGAGAATCTTCCCATCTAGGTTTGACTGGTACTGCTGGGAGAAGCCTGTCCCAAAGCTATCCAGGCTCCAGGCCATATACAACCTCCAAGGTGCCCATTGGTACTATTACATTCAATTATCTGGATTTACTTTCAGACAAAATGGGGAAAAAAGTATAGCACAACATAAAAAACCAACAACATGGACGTAAAAGCTACTGCCTAGACTTGCTAAAATAATACAAATCAAAACACTGAAATTCAATGGGATCCCTAGTTTGTGACATTTTGGTGAAGTTACCAGACGTGGGATGCAATCCTTCAGACCAAATGATACCAAAGTTAGAAGTCTGTTTGCTACCATCTACAGTCATCTGGATTCTTGAAGCACCAAATTGTTAGCCTTAATTTTTGATGCTTTTAGGAGAGCTAATGGAGCACGATACCTCACATGATTGATAATTTGCAAGCCCACGCTCGAGATCCGAATGCTGCTGTGTGGTGGGGTGAGCTCCCATGATTTGCTCCAGTTCTTGCTGACCCAGAAGTTCAAAAGTATGCAAATACAAGTAAATAAATAGGTACTATTTTGGCGGGCTCATTAGTGGGACCAGGCAGCAGTGATGTCACTGGCTATTCCTTTTAACCCAGAAGCACCTCAGCACTTCCGATACAACAATGACAATGAGGAGAGCTGCTTGAGCCCAATAAAATTTAACTGGCCAGTGGAAAGGACGATTAGATATGTTGTAACACAATAGAGGTCAATTGATCCAGTTAGCTAATGCTCAATAAAATTCATCCTCAAACCAGTTATGCATAGAATTAAAGCTAACTTGACACAGTGAGTTGTGGGCATTCCTAAATCTAGACATTCTGTTTTGATTAAATAACACTTTGCAATATAGAGAGAAATCTAACCTACTGAAAAACCACCCTTGCTTATTCCAAGATCTCACAAGAGAGACATGTCTCTCCAACATTAATTGGCTACTGTTAGCCCTTTGCGGTAGTTCTGATATGAAGCAGTACTAAGATTACTGATTCTAAGGTCACATTTACAGAATCTCAAAAGACTAAAAGTACCTCTTCCTTTCTTTACTTTTACTCTCCCCAAAACTAGAGACAATCTCCTCTGAGATTCTTTCACTATACCTCCTCCTTTAGACACAAATTTGATCATACTATTATACTATTTGGGTCTGCATTCTTCTTTTCCCAAGCTAATTCCCATTACAGCTATAGTGGTGAAGCTTCTACTGCTGCTTTCTTTTCAAAAGGGGTGGAATTAGTGATACAATAAAGCTTACCAGTATTTGACTGACCCATAAGACTTATATGATATCAGGTATTTCATGAAAAAAGTGGAGTAGCGAGTAAGTTTTCCTAAAATAGCAGTTGTTGACCCAATTAAAGCAGCAGTGTGCTGTCAAAATAATTGCTAATGAGATGTACAGTACTGAGGTTCTAGCTGATTATTAAGCATGTTGCAGAAAAGAGCCATTAAGATTATATTTGTCGCTGTAAGTAAAAATCCTAATGGAAAGAGATATAAACCCTGTAACAGATTACTTAGGAAGGACCTAGAGGAATAATTAACCGTTGGGGAAAAAAGTTGACCCCAAGAAACTAACTAGGTATATAACCTAATGTCTGGTGGTCCTACTTAGAAATGTTGTTGTATTTCTGTTTTTATTCCTGTAGATAATGGATGGAAGAGTGAAAATGATGGGAAACAATTGGAAAGAGTCAAATCTGAGGAGCTGAAAGAAAATTTTTGGAATCAAAGTAGACCAACGGGAGAAGAAGGAAGTTTTGTGGAGAAAAGAGGTGATAAATCTATTACTTCTCAAGTTAGAAGTTTCAGTGAAACCCCAGTTCAGCCTAGCAGCCAAACAGATAAGAGATGTAACCATTGTCTGAATATTCACCAGTTAATCCACGTGGAGGGGAAGTCAAATAAAAACTTCAAATTTGGGAAGAGTGTGAATTGGAACCAAAACCTGGCTGATGGCCAAGCATTTCTGGAAGACAAGAAATTCTATAAATGTTCGGAGTGTGGGAAGGGCTTCAGTTGCAGCTCAAGCCTCCCTGCGCATCAGAGAATTCACAGAGGGGAGAAGCCGTACAAATGCTTAGAGTGTGGGAAGAGCTTCAATTCAAGCACAAGCCTTTCTTCCCATCAAAGGACACACACCGGGGAGAGACCCTTCAGCTGCCTGGACTGTGGCCTGAGCTTCAGGGACCATTCAGGCCTTATCAAACATAAGCGAATTCACACTGGGGAAAAACCCTACCATTGCTCAGACTGTGGCTTGAGCGTTAGCACTCAGTCAAGCTTGGTTAGACATCAGAGAGTCCATACAGGAGAGAAACCGTATCGGTGCACAGAATGCGGGAAATACTTCGGTCAGAGCACGGACCTTGCTTCCCATAGAAGAACCCACACTGGGGAGAAACCCTATAAATGCTTAGAGTGTGGGAAAAGCTTCAGCCGAAGCACAAGCCTGACTTTGCATCAGAGAATCCACACTGGGGAGAGGCCCTACACCTGCTTAGACTGCAACAAGAGCTTCTCTGATCAGTCAAGCTTTATTAAGCACGAGAGAAGCCACACAGGAGAGAAGCCCTACAAATGCCTGGAGTGTGGGAAGAACTTCAGTCGGAGCACAAGCCTTTCTTCCCATCAAAGGACACACACCGGAGAGAGACCCTTCAGCTGCTTGGATTGTGGCCTGAGCTTCCGGGACCATTCAAGCCTTGTGAAACATAAGCGAATTCACACTGGGGAGAAGACGTACAGCTGCTCAGACTGTGGCCTGAGTTTTACCACTCAGTCCAGCTTGGTTAGGCATCACAGAATCCATACAGGAGAGAAACCATATCCTTGCTTGGAGTGCGGGAAGTACTTTGGACAGAGCACAGATCTTGTTTCGCATAGAAGGATTCACACAGGGGAGAAGCCCTATAAATGCTTAGAGTGTGGGAAGAGCTTCAGTCGAAACACAAGCCTAACTTTACATCAGAGAATACACACCCGGGAGAGACAATAGAGATCACAATAGGAAAAGCTTTTGTTTTGTCAAGCAGAAAACCTATGTAGAGAAGAAGTCATATTTATATGTGCAGAAAGATCTTCAGAGAACAAGCATTACTTCAAAGTATTAACTTGGACTTTTCATCAACCTATGTAGTCTTCATTTACTTAATTGTATTTTTGAAGGTAGCCATACGAAAGTTATTTTCTTGATACTCATTCTCTTAAGAAGTCTCTGCTGTGGTCATTCAAATATAGATTAGAAATAGATTGGTGATTCTAAGGCATTGTTTAAATTGAAAAGTATGAGTAATCAAATTTTACATTGCTTGCAAAGAACGTTCTTTTTGAACAAAAAGTAGACAGAGTATATACCTGTAAGAAATTTTTGAACATTTTCAGAGCAGCCATCTAAATTTAATAAAATAATTGTGTAGCATAAAACAAACAATGCTGTTTCCCTGGCAGTGCCAGTCATAGTTTTTACGAGAAGAGAATGGAATTAGTTTGATAATCTACAGAAAGGAGAGCAGCACCCAATTGCAAGAGAGGGGAAAGCTTTAATATATTAAACCTTTAAAGGTCTGCAATTGATTACTGGGAATTTTTAATACATTCCTGGAGATAAGCTGCGGTACATAATGGGACTTAACCTCTGAGTAGGTTTGCATAGAATTGTGCTGTAAGCCAATAAAAGGTCAAAGTGGAAATGCAGATGATTGAAATTTGACTGAATATGTTTGACAAGGTCTGTTCTAAGTTGGGGCAAGGGCAGAAGGGAAAAAGAAACACCAGCAATTAACCAAAGGATAAGCAAGTAAAATGCAAAAGGGAGCTTCTGAGATAAGGGAGATCTTGAGGAAAAAAGTTGGAACTTTAAATTGCCTACTACATACTTATTTAGGTCAGTAAATTAGATAGTCCTTAATCAGCAATCACAGTTGAGACCAGCAACTCAGTCATTAAATAAAGTGGTCACTAAATGAGATGACTGCTAATGATCTTACATCAGCTTTCCTTTGCTTTACAGACCTGTGAGGATCATAAACTTGAGGACTGGTCTCAAAATTACTTTTTCATCACTGTCATAACTGAACAGTTACTAAATGAGAACTGCCTCCGATGTCAAAATATGCAATAGCTGTAAAGGGAAAGTCATAAATTTCATAAAAGATGTAAAGTACAGGCATTAGCAGAGTGAAAGGTTAGATTCCTTGTTGAATAATAATATTGCTGAAATTGTGTGACTTCTTAAGATGAAACAGAGCAGTTAGGAAATTGAGCATGTTTCTTATGAGGTTGTTTCATTCTGGATTATTTATTTAATGTAACTTAAATCATTGATTTAAAAAGAATGAATCACCAAGAGATTAAATTTTCTTCTGCTGTTAACACTTATTGTAGCCTTCATTTAATTGCAACTGAATTAGAGATGCTATATGTTAAACTATGTTTGTAGCAAATAGTTATATAGCCAGTTATACTTACTAACCTGTCCAACACTTGAGAACTGGCTATATTTATCTGATGATCCACCAGTTTCTGCTCTAATACACTACTAATCTTGATAGCTATTGGGAAGGTCCCTTGGGTTGAAATACACTGCTCAAAAAAATAAAGGGAACACAAAAATAAGACATCCTAGATCTGAATGAATGAAATATTCTTATTAAATACTTTGTTTATTACATAGTCGAATGTGCTGACAACAAAATCACACAAAAATTATCAATGGAAATCAAATTTAGCAACCCGAGGTCTGGATTTGGAGTTACCCTCAAAATTAAAGTGGAAGAAAACACTACAGGCTGATCCAACTTTTATGTAATGTCCTTAAAACAAGTCAAAATGAGACTCGGTAATGTGTGTGGCCTCCACGTGCCTGTATGACTTCCCTACGATGCCTGGGCATGCTCCTGATGAGGTGGCGGATGGTCTCCTGAGGGATCTCCTCCCACACCTGGACTAAAGCATCCCCCAACTCCTGGACAGTCTGTGGTGCAACGTGGCATTGGTGAATGGAGCGAGACATGATGTCCCAGATGTGCTCAATTGGATTCAGGCCTGGGGAACAGGCGGGCCAGTCCATTTGTCTTGCAGGAACTGCTGACACACTTCAGCCATATGAGGTCTAGCATTGTCTTGCATTAGGAGGAACCCAGGGCCAACCGCACCAGCATATGGTTTCACAAGGGGTCTGAGGATCTCATCTCGGCACCTAATGGCAGTCAGGCTACATCTGGTGAGCACATGGAGGGCTGTGTGGCCCCTAAAGAAATGCCACCCCACATCATTACTGACCCACTGCCAAACCGGTCATGCTGGAGGATGTTGCAGGCAGCAGAACGTTCTCCACAGCGTCTCCAGACCCTGTCATGTCTCACATGTGCTCAGTGTGAACCTGCTTTCATCTGTGAAGAGCATAGGGCGCCAGTGGTGAATTTGCCAATATTGGTGTTCTCTGGCAAATGCCAAACATTTTGCAGTGTTGGGCTGTAAGCACAACCCCCACCTGTGGACTTCAGGCCCTCACACCACCCTTAGTCTGTTTCTGACCGTTTGAGCAGCCACATACACATTTGTGGCCCGCTGGAGGTCATTTTGCAGGGCTCTGGCAGTGCTCCTGTCCCTCCTTGCACAAAGGTGGAGGTAGCGGTCCTGATGCTGGGTTGTTGCCCTCCTATGGCCTCCTCCACGTCTCCTGATGTACTGGCCTGTCTCCTGGTAGCACCTCCATGCTCTGGACACTACACTGACAGACACAGCAAACCTTCTTGCCACAGCTCGCATTGATGTGCCATCCTGGATGAGCTGCACTACCTAAGCCACTTGTGTGAGTTGTAGACTCTGTCTCATGCTACCACTAGAGTGAAAGCACCACCAGTATTCAAAAGTGACCAAGTCATCAGCCAGAAAGCATAGGAACTGAGAAGTGGTCTGTGGCCACCACCTGCAGAACCACTCCTTTATTGGGGATGTCTTGCTAACTGCCTATGTTTTCTACCTGTTGTCTATTCCATTTGCACAACAGCATGTGAAATTGATTGTCAATCAGTGTTGCTACCTAAGTGGACAGTTCGATTTCACAGAAGTGTGATTGACTTGGAGTTACATTGTGTAAAGTGTTCCCTTTATTTTTATTTTTGAGCAGTGTATATGCAGATCTATCTGCTTTAAGAGGAATGATATGAAGCTTTGGGGCACCAATTCCTTATTCGGATGACCTTTGTTCCTACACTAGTACAAATGCATTTTGAGACACTCTTATCTTCTGCCCTTATTCAAGTGTACTTGTGTACTAATCATGAAATTTCTAGCTTGAAAAATGCCAGGAGGAGGAAAGTGTCACTCATTAGGAGTTATCTCAGTTGCAGAGACAGATATTATCCCTCAGCTTTAGAGCAGTGTTAAATTATAATGAAGTAGAATTTAGTTGGATTATCAGTAAGAACTTTGTAACAGGAAAAGCTGTTCAACGGTTGATTTTCTTAAATAGTAAACTCTCAAGAAGTACCTCTGGCCAGACAACTCAGCTCTACATGATTAGTCCAGTCTGGTGTCTGGCTATTGGAGTAATAGTTGTACCAGTAGCCTGGTTTAATTTAAAAGTCTACTTTCTATGCCCGCTACACATACTGACTAGTTGGGACTGTAAGTCAATTAATAGTCTTCTGGAAAAGTAAGTGAAGGAATCATCTTTATGTAGGCCTATGCACCCTCCCTCCCTCCCGAGAAGGAGCAAAAAATACAGAAACCGACATCTACCAGGCCATATCCTTTTATTATAAAATATATTTCATATTGCTGTTGTAAAAATTACATTTCACATTTTTTGTTTACAATAAAAAATAATACTTGGAAGACAATCAAAAGAAAAGCTCCAATTAGATAGCAATTCACGATATAACAGATTCCCCCTCCCTTTAGGCTTGATAGCATATCACCATCGAAGGAGCAGCGGTTTGCAGATTACAAGAACTATCCAGCCATTTCTACCTTCATTCCTTTTTTTTTTTTTTTCCAAAAATCTCTCATGCTTATGAAATTCAAAAAGCCAGGCTCACCAATCTCAAACTCAGAAAACCAACTGAGTAATGACTTTAAGGTGATCTTAACAACTGAGGTTTTAACAGGCTTATTTTTGATCTTTTAAGAAGGCTAGTTCTGGGGCTTCCTCTTCACTTTGTGTTGCTCTATGTAACAGCAGAGTGATAAGACCCAAACTGTTTTCCTTGTTCTCTACCTTGCACTGGAGTTAATGTGTGCATTCAGTTTTAGGGGAGAATTCTATCTGTGCCTAGAATTGCATGTTGATCCCAGAGGATGAGCTGGCAAACTGTCTCTACATGCCTAACAAGGCATGGCACTCACGTACATCTGCACTCAATTCACACACATACACACACACACACACACAGTTGTGCAATCATATAGCCCTTTTATTTGGAAATCAATTCCACTTCTATTTGAAAGCAAAGACTTTTTAAAAAAAATTTGGACACATGAAATTAATTGGAATTTGGAGTTCTACCTCTAAACCTCACTGAGGTGTTTTGGTTTCCATCATCCCCACTCTCCATGCTGGTTAGTAATTATGGGAGCTGGAGTCTGACCCAGCAGGTGGACACTGGGTTGGTGGTATTTCCAGTGTGCTGATTTTGCTGCGTAGCATTGGTGGCTTTTATTTGAAGTAACAAAATCAAGGGTTCACAGTGCATAGCATGAATAGAAAATAGGCCCTGGTTAGCGCTAAAAAAATGGTTATATATGCGTGCACAAGTCACAATTTCCCCCCTTCCCCTCAAAAAAAAAAAAAAAATGCAGCCAACAATGGTATTTGCAGATCTTAGATTTTAGAGTTAATTTTTGAAAAATGGGTATAAGATTTAGAAATCAATCCTGTAATCCAGCGTTTTTCAACCTCAGCATCCTTAAGCTGTGGAGACCTCAACTCCCAGCATGCATAAAGTCCTCATGGCTTAAATTTGCTGAAGTTGAGAAACACTGTTGTAATCCAAAGTAACTAAAATCAAAATGGAAGAATTAAAGCTGTACCACTTGTTAATTCAGACAAGAGGACCACAGAATGATTACTTTCTTAAAGCTAAAATCCTCTGGCATCAGAAATACACTAATGTTCTTAATTCAGTAATAAAAACAAACCTTAGTGGCCTCATTTTGGGAAGCCGCACTCAGTAGGATCCTGATGTACCCTATTGACCCAGGTAGTGAGTTATGCTCCTAAGAGGACAGGGAGTGTGCCCACTCACTACCCATAGGTTTCGTGCAAATCCAATGGAAAAACTAGCCTTGTTTCAAGTAATCAGAAAGACTGGACTTGACAAGAATGGGGAAAAGGAGCCAGCTTACATAATCAGAAATATTTTTTTTCCTTTTGCTATTTTCAAAGCCAGGAGAAAAGCCTCAGTTGCATTTGTGAAATGGCAAGCATTTTTTAAATTTTTCAGAAAAGAATAAAAAGTAGTGGCTTGGATATAGGTAGGGATTCTCTTTCATTCTCTCTTTGGCTTACTGCAAGAAAGCAAAGGTTGGGAAACAGACTATCCTATGAGCAGAAGAGGCAGAAATGAATTTAAGACAGAGCACCTCAGTTTCTTCGACACACAATGTAGACTAGTGACATATACAGGCCGCCCTTGCAAAATGGCTGCCACCAAGAAACAAAGTTCTTTGCATCTTGTTCCTTATTTCCTCAAAGCCTCCCCCACCTACCAATATAATCCTATGAAGGGAAAACAGGATGGTCTCCACTGCAAATACAACATTTACAATGCTATTATTTAGGAAGCAGTATTTCCTAAAATTGCTTCCTTCCAACTTTCCCTTCCTTGTAGGGAGGTTATATTTGGGGTGAAGGAGGGAACAGAATTATATTCCAAAGTTTCTTGGTTTTTTTAAAAAAACCAGAAATACGGAAAAAAAAATCAAATCATTGACATACATTGTCCAGTCCAATTGTACCGCATAGCTCACAAAATAAAAAGAAGGGGAAAAAACATACCCTATTTAAACAATACTGGTTAACAAATATATTCCCATGGAAGGCTAGCTTTTCTTTTCACTCTCCAAAATTAAGTGCTATAATTTTTATTTTATTTTTGGGTGGTGGGGGGAATGAGACATTTGATAAAGGCTGGCTTTTTGTTCAAAAAAAAAAAAGGGGGACAGCACTGACTGCATGCTTTGGTGATGGTTATGCTCCTAACCTCACCAGAAAATGGCACATATTCCTTTGACACCATAGTAAAAGGAGTAACACTTTGATTCCAAGAATCTGTCATAGCATAACAGGGATATCCTATATTCCAGAACAGTGTTTCTCAACCTTGACCATTTTCAAGATTTCAACTTCCAAAATTCCCTAGCCACCAATGCTGGCCAAGGAATTCTGAGAGTTGGAAGTTCACACATCTGAAAGTAGCCAAGGATGAGAAACATTGTTCCAGAGGCTTCAGTGTTTCATTTATTCTTTTATAGGGCCTTTTCTCCCCACAACTTTTTAATCACATTCTAACAACAGCTATCCCCCCAAACTGCTTTTTGTAAGCATAAGACCCAGACTTTTGCCACCGAAGAAAATGATCTTTAAATCGCAATCTGAAGATACTCGTTGGTTACTCTCTTCTGATTCAACAAGAAATTGAGAGGTGCCCTTCCTAAATCAGAAAAGAAGAAATTTTACTCTGATACAAGGATCCATCCATACCAGGATGGCTGAAGCAGAAGGAGCAGTTAAAAATGTTGGGATTTTCAAACTTTAACGTTACTTTGGGAGACTGGACAAGGCCAGTTCTCAAAATTTGATTTTCAATTATTAAATTGGAGCCTTACTTGTCTTGGAATTTGAGAAGAAATGGCTTTGAAATTCACAGGTTCCCACTGAGATCATCAACCTGCAACCTGGCTTTGCATCTTATCACTTTGGTCTACAAGACATGCCACCTGGAGAGTTACTAAGACTAGCTTGAAGGAAGGCAGCTGCAGAAAAGCAGCCAAAATCCCTTTTAAAAAATATTTTGAGCCTCTGATAGCCATAGAGCAGCGGTGTCAAACCCGCGGCCCGTGGGCCAGATGCATCACATGCTGGTCATGCCCACATCCAGTTTAGCGAAGGGGACAAAGTCACGATACATCACATGACAACACGAGACGATGCAAGTTTGACACCAATTCTCTTTGCCATAGAGAATCAGAGCAATGCAGTGCTATCATTAAAGTGAGAAATTTCAAAGTCCTTGGACATTTATGTATTTTTAATATATATATTTTTATTAAGAGGGTTTATCGGAATCAACTCCATCAGACCTCCCAAATGTTAAATGTTTTATGTTTTATAGTTTAGTCAGTAATGAAAAAGCAATTGCACTGCCCTAAACCTCCAAACATGAATGGCTCTAGCTTGGAAGTTGCAGATGATGTACTTTCATGGGAGAAATCCAGAGATTCTGGATTTGGGGACAGAAAGAAGCAGCGAAAAGTTTTTTTTAAAAAAAAAAAAATCTGGCTGATTTGTGAGAAAGTTCTGAGCCAATGGCATCAATAATCTAATTTGAGCAACATCGGTCACAGATCAAAAGAAGTATCCATCTTCTTGGATGGTTAAATCAGACCATTCATCCACTTGCTAAATCATGACTCCTGGCTGCTTTGACAACTGGCTGCTTTGCTTAGCAGAGACCATTGCTCAAACAACTGAACCAAGATGGCTGGTCCACAGCAACAGTTCTGTTGACTTAGCTGTAATCAGAAACAGACTGGTAAGATCAAGGCTCTCCCATTCTGTGACAGGCGGAAGCCTAAGGTTTTGCCACTAATCCCAGTAAAATCATCTTGGTAATGGGTATCTTGGTAATGGGTCATCCTTGATGAGGTCAAGTTGTAGTTTTTAAAGGGCCGGGTTTGTTTATGAGGACCAAGGACTTCTGTTTAGCAACCTATGCTTTTATTGAAGGGAGGGTATCAACCCCTTTCAATGTTTCCCAATAACTCATTGAACCAGAGCTGCAGAACTGAGAGAAATGTATCTCAAATGGGAAGGGAAAGACTTGAGGTTTCTCCCGAAGCTAAAATTATTTTATCGAGGATTTTTCCCCAAATTTCCACTAGTATTTTGACATGAAGCATGATTTTCAAAGCCAAGCTCGTTTTCTAAGTTCCAAGACATTTTCACTGAAATCAGACTATTGTGACCCAAGCAATGCATTTTAAGTAAAAATCCCACATTTTATTATAAACCTGAAGCTTCAATAGTAATACCTCTTATCTGAACTTCAATATTCCCAAATTCCCTATTCAGAATTTGCACTATATAAATCTGAGTTCAATTTTAATTTTCAAAATATTAATTTGCAATTTGAACTAATTAATTTGTAACTAATTACAAAATCAGTTAAGCATCTATCAGATGTCCAGGCTAGAAAAATAAAATCTGACAGACTGTGAATTATACAAGATTACAAAAAAAAAGAGCAATCAACAAGCACCAAAAATATACATAATTCCTTTTCAAACTCTTCCACCCATCCCTTAAAGTACCCTCAAAGAAAGATAAAAGGGCTCACATTTTTATATAAGGAAATTATAATTCTCCAGGACATATAGTTCGGTTACTATTTTACAGAAAGAGGTTTATCTCTTTAGTTTATGGCTCATGATTATCAAAACGCTTTGGGGAAGGGGAGAAAAGAGGCAGAGAAACAACTTCAAAACAATGTAAATACCTACGAATATACCTCATTTTCCATTTTCATTATCATTACTATTGGTGTTGCCATTTTACATCTGCAAAATGTAAACAAACCAAGCCACATGCCTTCTGAAATGGAAGAACACATTTCCCCATCAGCAAAACTGATGGCTCTTTGATAGCATGACATTGACTTCCATGGTGAAGCTAGCCATCAAATTTAATTAGGCTTGCCACTGAAGCAGCATTGCACCACCTATGATCATGCATTTTTGAGTTTGCCAACTTTGAATGTAAACTTCCACACATCTCCACCACATCATCTGCAGCCCTGAGAGCCCCCACCCTCCTGCATGGCAGGGCTGAAAAATTCAGATCCGTTTTAATTGATTTGGGAAATTTAAGAAGAGAAATGCATAGCTTAGGCCAACAGATGCCAAGGCACCCGTAACTCTCCTTTTAAAAAACCCCACTGCCTCAAAAGTTCAGCCTTGCCTCTTATGTTGATGGCACATGGCTAACCACCATCCATTGCAACATCCGTCTAACACTTGGTTTATTGGATTGTATTCCCCCATCCCACTGAGATCCACCTGGCCTACCTTCATGCCACCAGATACCACAGAGAAAGAGGGGGGGGGAGGGAGGAAGGAAGAGAGGGAGGGAGACAGACAATATTTGCAAGGGAATCTGTCATATGAATCTTAACATATACATGTTAATCACAGAAAATTGAAAGGAATAATTGTACAGCTTGGCTAACATACTTTGTGTATACACAGTTCCTTGTGTAAATGATACAACCAACATTAAGTGTGAAGGCAAAACAAGTATATTGGGAGAGCAGGCAACCATTTCCAATTCCACTGTCTCTCACTGAAGTTTAAACCAAACTTGGTTATAACAATAGTTAGATAGAAATCTGGTGGGGGGATAGATTATTACAATTTTTCAGGTTTTTGAGGCCAATGGATCATGAAGAAAATAAAAATTTATAATGATGGAATTATTGGTTATTATTTCAATCCACACACACACCAAAAAAAAATGGAAAATGCTCATTTTTTCCCCCAGATGACTCAAGTATTTTTGAAAATTGTATTCATTAAATCCCAATCAATTCTAAGACAATGTTGGCTTGTCTTCAAGTGCTATTTCCAGCATATCTCTGTGTCCCTCCCAATTTCCAATTTCTTTCTTTTCTAACTACATCCTGAGAGACTGGGACTATAGATTGTGGATCTAGGATCACTCGGTGGCCAGAAAGATGGGATGGAAACGATGAATGGGGCGGCAGGGCAAAATAAATGGGCATTCCCAAAAAACTGAACATGGACCAGCATGCCCTACAAAACAGCTCAGGCTTTCTCATATGCAAATCTTGGAATGCTGCTTCACTTGGTGTTCAAAGGTTTAGACTGCTGGCACATGGTGGGATGAACCTGAAGAGGAAGGAAGAACATAATCGTGGGTTTTTATGCGCTTTGCTCATTACCTGTAGGCTCCTACGATAATTAGAAGAGAAATGAAACTGTCCAAACACATTACCATTCATTGGAAACTCAACTAATAATTAAACATCTAGTTCTTCTCTGGAAGATAGGCCTGATTTGGGGAGCCAATTAATAAAGACAGAAGAATGAACAGTTGTTAAGGGGGGGGAAAGATCCCAGCTGTATCACTAAAAATGTGATATGCACAAGACAAATTCATATTCCAGAAAACATTCCCACTGTTGGGAAAACCAAGACGGATCCAGATTCTTACTTAAAAATACAGTGTAAAGAACTTTAATTTACTGCCACATAGTATATAGAGTGACAGTGGGGAGATTGTGAAGTTCCTATGGTATCCAAGTAATAAAAGTTGTATTGTGGATGCTCAAAATACATCTTAAACCGCCAGTTACATCAGTGAAGAGTTCTGAGACTCTTACAGAATGCATTTGTTTTGGGGTTTACAATTGCTAAAAAAATCCAGATTATTTTTACGTTCCTTCCACTTCAGGGTGATTTGGAATTTGCGGGTTATTATTTCCCAACAGCAACTAAAGAAAACAAAATAAAAAGCAGTGCTCATTAAGGATGCAAATGGCTAATTCCTGTGCAGGCATCCGAGGATTAACTGGGAAACAACAGTGTCCATTAGTAGAGCAACTGTCCTCATCTGCTAATAGTAGTTCCCTTCCTGTCCTCCTTTTGCACTCTCTAAATGGTTACGTGACTTCAGGGGAGGTGAAACAGTTGCTTCTCTCCTCCATCATTGCAGTCATTGATCCAACCACAACAGCCAACCTCACCCTATACTGAGGAACAGATCAAAGTTCTTTGGTCCCTGGACCCACCTAGAAACAAGTCTGTAAGACAGATCAAGCAATCAGCTTTTTTTTCCCTTTGTCCTCCTTATTTACAGAATAGAAAGGGAGGCTGTGTTATTTGTCATTTAAAAAAAAGGAAAAAAATGTGTAGAAAAAGCTTTCCCACAAAACACTGAACATTAGAAAACCTGGCAGACATAGACTATACAGAGCTTGGGATAAACACGTGGCTCGCGAGATTTCTGCCAAAGCACCAGGAATTGCTTCCAAGACAACAGAGCCCTGGATGTGGCCAAAATACAGAGATCTGGCTATTTGCTCTTGGGTAGCTGCAAGAGAGAAAGCCCTCTGAGACTTCCCACCAGAAAGGGGTGTGAATGCAGATACATCCTTCTCAGTCCAAAAATCTCTGGCATGCTTTTTTCCACCGGCAGGCTGTGCACCACTGGTCTCGGTGCTCAATGCCATAAACTTTGCGGCACTTCTTGGCTTCGCCACGGACTTTCCTAAAGAAAGCAAAAGAAAGAAAACCATTGAATATACTTACAATAGCTACTGAGCAATTAAGACTCTCTCATCTGATACAAACCCTGGCGCTGAACCTAGGGCCTTCCGCCTATAAGTCCTGAGGGCTAGTTATTGTGGTTTGCTGGCAGCCTGTGCAGACAGCAGTGGAATTGGACAGTGGTGAAGAACGGGGACCAGTCCAGGAGTCTGGAGAGGACTTGGACAAGGGTCTTGTGTCCGATGCAGAGATGGGGCCAGGACCATTTGAGAGTGGGGTACTGCCTCCGGAGCCCCCGGAGTCCGGCAGCAAAGAGGCCGAGGAACAAGGGGAGCCTGTTCCCAGTGCACATGTGCGCAGAGCTGCTAGAAGGCAAGCAGCTGAAACGAAAGGGGCGACTTGGGAGTAAGGCTGGGAGGTGATTGCCCCTCCCATAAGGTATAAAGGACAGGCCAAGATGGCGAAACCTTTGCAGGAAGCAAAGTCATTCGTTCGGTTCAGATTCATTCTTGAAGCTCTTTTGTACTTTGGTTAGTTTCTTTTCTAATTCAGTTGACACTTCTGTTCTTGGCAGCACTTCACCGGAAAGACAAGTGGGTGCTTATCTTGAGGGACTATTTGAGATTCATTACCAGCTGGGAAGGAAAATAATTCCCAGTGTTGCAATAACACAAAACTTGTTTTTAAAATAAGTGTGTGCGTAATTACGGTCTCGAAAGCCTTGGTCAGAAGACTAGTGTTCTTTTCCACCCACAAAAAGGCTCTTGTTAATTAGCCAAGAACTTGCAATTGGAGCCTATTCCTGTGTACGGCAAGTTCATATACAGGCAGTCCTTGCTTACCAACCATTCGTTCGGTGACTGTTCATAATTAAAACGCTGCTGAAAAAGGAGATTTATGACTAGTCTCCAAAGCTATCACCATCACAGTTTCCCAACAGCCATGTGAGCATGATTCGGGAGCATTTACAATGGTCACAGCATTCTACAATCACATGATTGGTATCTGCAACCTTCACAGTCAGCTTCCAAAAAGCGAAGTCATTGGAGAAGCTGGCAGAAAGTCGTTAAATCATACACAAGATGTTGCACTTAACAATCCCAGGGGATTCGCTTTCACAACTGCAGTTGGAACTGACGTTGTAAGTTAGCATAATCCCAGAGTCCCACTTTACAGCTGCAACTGCTTAATTACAAAGTTGCCAGTCCCAATTGCAGCCAGTGAGTGAAAACTACTTATACTAAGCTAAGGCTCACACGATCCTGGCTCAGACACAACTGCCCCAAGTGCACATTATCCACTCGTTCTTCCTAAAATTAGTAAAAACAAACAAACAATAGATTGTGCTGTACAAATCAAACTTATTTGCCATCAATTTCAGCAGCACAATCGAAATGTTGTTTGAAGGCTGGAAAACAGAGGTTGCCTCTACTGTAACTAGAGCTGATGAAACACAGTGTTGGATTCAAACATTTCATTGTTGTTTATGGTTTAGTGCCATGTGTGAATCTAGACATTTTGCCTAAAAATGACCAAACATACAAATCTGCCTTATGCTCAATCAGGCCACCGATCTTAAAAAAAAACCTGCAGCACATGCGTGTCTACTTCTTCTGGCAGAAGATAGCCAAAATTTCAGGCAGAATGCTCTTTCCTCTGAGCCCAAGCCAAGCAGCACATGTTCAAAATTCGAAAGAACAATTCCCCCACATTTTCCTTTCTGAGCGCATCTGACACCCGCTATTTCCCAGCCCTGCTTGAAGTAGCTCAGTCTGTGTCTTCTCCAGGTCTTACCTGGTGCCACTGGGTGCTCTTGGGGGGGATGCAACAATCAACTGGGATTTCAGCACTGGAGGCGGGGGTGGCTGTTCACTGAAACTCAAAGACCGGCTCCGAACCTGCAAGAAAAACCCTTTTGGTTTATTTGGGTTTTATTATTCTGCCTTAAATGATTATGGGTGGGTGCTTTAAAAGACTTTGAAAGGATTTTCTACTCAGGTGAAAATTGTAAACTTGCTTTGATACTACGAGGGCGTTTTCTTCTTTTAAAATATCAAAATAAAAATATCAATTTCCAGATAACTGGTGCCCTGCCAGATTACAGAAACTCGTATCTAGTTCAACGTTTCTTTTTTTCAAAGTAATACTTCTGGGAAGAACACAAGCTGCTATTATTTTTGAGGTATGCTGCTTCTCAATACAGATATTCTCTTTAATTCTCATTTTCTCTTCTCCTGGCCACAATCTCTAAAATGCCTTCTCCAATAAAGACAACCACAAATGTGACGTTTCCATATCTATATAAGAAGAAAGCAATCAGTCTGGAGAGTGAAAAAAGGAATATTTTTACATTGATTTTCATCTGAAATATGTCTTTACTACACAGGGACTAGGAGTGGGGCAGATGTGTAGAGAAGAAATAAGAAGTGGTATTTTATTGGAAAGATCCCTTCTCCCATTTTTTCCTTTCCCAATTCAGCACCCTTCAGAATTGTAGGATTCAGAGAATTTGAAAACTGAACTTCTGGCTAACACTTTCCAAACTGCACGAGGCTGCTATAACTTGACAAAAATTTGATTAGATCTCCTTTTTCATCTTCCGAATATTTGCAGCTGAACCCCCTAACTACAATTTTATGAATGCTGCATCATACTTTTAACTGATAAGATTCTCCCTGTCTTGTTGACTTTTTTATTTCTCAGTTCAACTCAAATCAAAGTTCAAAGTTTTGGAAACTAAAAACCCCTGTCTAGCAACTTGGTGTCGGGATTCTGGCAGTTACCCCCAATTAAATCATGAGTTGTCACTTGGATTGGATGTTCTGGAAACATTTGTTTACAAATGCCTTATTTTGGGAGAGAGGCGACTATTTTTTTCAGGCTGACAGGCAACTGAACTTTTCTGTTTGCTCATACAGAAAAAAGAAAATCTATTTTTAATTTGTGGTAGCAAATTTCGTAAGATAATCATGCATAAAGGGATCTTTAAAAACCACAGCTTTCTCAGAACATGCCACCCACCAAGTACATGTAATATATTTTTGAAACAATCTTCTGAACTAATCCAGATTCTCTCCTTCAGTATAACCAGGCAACTTTCTAGATTCTAGAGCATGGGTGTCAAACTCGATCGCGTCACATGACATATCATCACTTTTTTTTGCCTTTGCGGAGCTGAGGTGGGCATTGCCTGTGACACATCTGACCCACGGCTGCCAGTTTGACAGGCCTGTTGTGGAGTCATTTGACATGAGATAGGGGCAAATAAATTTAATAATAAATAAGTAGGCAGGTAAATAAACCTTATGTCCCGCTGAGTTGTCATTTCAAACATGTTTCCTTATCAGAACATGATGGTGAAGGGCAGTCAAAAAAGCAATGGGAGAAGTAGTATCACCTGATCTCTTATTGAATTCCCCATTGAGATTCCTTGTGGGAATCTGGTAGGGAGAACTGGAAATCTTCTTCCTTTCCTTGTCTTCCCCTGGTCTCTTTTTCCAGGAGGCAAGTTTGCTGCTGGGTGGGGGAGGGAGCAAGGGATTGCAAGACTGGCTGGGAAACTGTTACAGAATGTTGAAAATTGATGATCATGTGACTGCAATAGCCCAGCAGCCAGTAGAACTGATGCAGCCCTAAAAATATCTCAAATGTCAGTCCATCAGAAGTTACGGGTCCCAGATTTGAATGCATATTTTTAAGCTAATACATTTGAGGTTCCTAGGTTCAAAAATTATTGCCCTGCAACATATCACTTTACCCAGTTAAAGTTCATTATGAGAGTTTTAGTGTATAAAGTTGTCAGACTCACCGGTGAGAGAGTAGGGATGGTTGAGGTTGCAGCAGCCCAGCTAATGCTGGTGAATATGTGCGGGGATACAGGAATCTGAATAGATGGCAGAGCCTAAGTAGAGAAAAACGTCTGTCTTAAGAAATGAAAAGCATTTTCACGTTCACTTTCTGTGAATTTTCTCAACACTTGAAAACATAGTGTTGGAAAAAGGACATAGGAAGTCTTTTAGACAACCCGCTACTCAAGTGCAGGAATCCTCAACCATCTCAACAAAAAGCTGTCCAATGTTTAACAAAATAACAGAGTTGGAAGGGACTTTTAAGGTCTTCTAGCCCAACCCTCTGCTTAGGCAGGAAACCCTATACCATATTTCAGACAAATGATTGTCCAATCTTTTCTTAAAAACCTCCAGTGTTGGAGCACCCACAAGTTCTGGAGGCAAGTTGTTCCACTGGTTAATAGTTCTAAGAGTCAGGAAGAGTCTCCTTAGTTCTAGTTGCTTCTCTACTTGATTAGTTTCCATCCATTGCTTCTTGTCCTACCTACAGGTTCTTTGGGTTTATTTTTATTATTTAAAAATAAATTTTTAATTTATTTTTTGATTTATTTAAAAACCTTCAAAGATAGTGCAATCACGACCCTACGATTCATGCTTAATAGTCTCATGGATAGGAAACTACTCAATACTTTGAAGCTGAATCTCTCTCTCTATAGAGCTTCCACTGGTTCTTGCCTTGCCCTCAGGCACTTTGGAAAATATATCCATATCCTCTTCCCATGATAGGCCTTCACTTATGAAAAATCTGCTAGTATGTCTCCCTTAGCCTCCCTTTTTTTAGACTCACCATACCCAATCCCTTTACTATTCTTTACAGGATGAACACATTAACTGTGACAGAAGAGCGAAAGATGCATTATTCTTTCACTCTCTAACACATTGCCCCAAAGTATAAGTGAACAGAGAAAGAATATGAATGCTTAGAAAGGTAATTGCATTTACCTTATTCTTTATTTGAAACGTGAATCATCCACCTTGCTACCACTACTCTCAGAACTGCAACCCTGCCATTTAACTACCCAAACATAACTGAGGGGCTGTTTATTTATTAGGGTGAACAATTCCACAGGAGAATTCCAAACACCTTCAGGAGGAATACGGAGTCTTAACACTGGGGCGCAGGTGGGCACTGACTTACCTGGTATGCATGGTCAGCCTGGATGTGCCAGAAGGAACTGGGGGCCGACTGGCTGAGGGCACCGCTGGCCAGATGAGGCTCCAAGGGGGTTGCCTGATCCAGAATGAGAGCCTCTGGCTGAGAGGCAGCCTGTTGGATGACAATAGGAGAGGAACCTGCAGTGGGATTGGGAGCAACAACTGAAGATTCCGGAAGTGCATCCTCCTTCACTTGCATCTCAGTGTAGTAGAAATCTTCTTCCCGTTTTCTCTGGTCAGAGTTGGCACCATCTCTGCAGGCATTGAGGAAAGAAGGAGATATGGAATAAATAAGGTAACTTCCAAGTAAAGTTTTCCAGCGTTTTGTTACAAAAGCTGAAACAATCTAGAGCAGGGATGTTAAATTCACAATCCATGGGCCGGATGTGTCACACACTGGCCACACCCACCCCTGGTTTAGCTAAAGGGAGGGGGAGAAATTACAATATGTCACGTGATGACAACATGACACCTGCCAGATTGACACTCCTGATCTAGGGTTTTTGTCCCTGAATATGAAAGGAGAGGTATATGTTATCTGGAGAATTTTCTTATCCACAACCCCAACATAGACAAGTTAATACCATCTCTAACATCTCTCTCATCAGCTCTGCTAATCCTCCTTTACCCACTGAGATGGACACACATTTTCTGGCAAATTCTGAAATTCTTCTACATTTGTCAGCAGAACCAAGAACTGTTTTATGGAATCCCAGTAAATCCTTTTCTTTCAGGGTAACATTCTGCTCATAGACTAGCAAATGGAAGAACCCAGAACTAAGTCTATCTGCTGTAACAGGCACAACAAGATGGGAGTAATTTTTCAGGTACACTTGATCCCTTTCTGGTGCAAAGACTTTTGGAGCAGAACCATTTTCTGGTGAGTGAAAACCTTCCCTGTGGACTGCAAAAATTTTCATCTAACTCCATTAAGAATTTAACATCCGAGCTGCCTTGGTATTATGCACTATTAAAATAATTCAGCTGCTAGAAGAACAAAGTCAACAAGGAAAAAGTTAGCCAAGGAAGGAAAACTCAACAGAACTAAAGATCACTGAAAGCAAAAGAAGATATTTAAAAAGATGGAAAAAGTATAACCAATTCTCCCCACAAGAGGGCCACACAACCACACAGCAAATATCAAATAAGGTTCAGTCATTTCTAGCCAGGTAACCAGGACTGCATTCAAGCCAGAGAAAATAGTTGGCAATGCTCAAAACCAGACTAAATTATATTCTCTAACTCACAAAAAAAAAGACCAGGCCAACTTGAAATAAATGACTGCCTACCAAAATAAGAGCTCTCTTCCAGAAATTTCCAATAAATACAACCCCATCCTGTCAGAGAAGATGATTCAAAAACTGATGATAAATTATCGAGAGAACTTGAGCTAAGTTCAATGTTCAATATCATTTTAGCTTTAATTCACTTTTTTCACTTCAGTTTTAACTTAACTGAAAAGTTGGCATTTTAAAATCTCACTGATCATAAGGAGTGGATGAACACATCATATTTTGTTTAGAAATGTGTCCAACAGCCCCACACAAAAAGAAAGAACTAAGCATACTAACACCCATTCTGGGGAACTACAGGAGATACTATGAAGATCCTGCAACCATTAGCCGTGTGGTAAATGAGTGCTTTGTGACTAACTGTGCACACCAAAGCAAACGTTTTGTAAGTATCTCTACCTTCTTTCAAATGTGCCCAACCTCAAATCAGTAACTATCTCTGATCTGGGCCTTTTCAAATAAAGTGAACTTTATATCCGGAGCCTGAACTTGACTCAGTAAGTTACTCATCGTATCATCTTTGCAGCCTCATAAAGGAAAAGTGCATTATAACGGGATGACTGGAAAACACCAATGAACTCATGGGGTAGCTACTACTGGAATAAAAATGGGGACCCCAGGCACCTTTTACATGGTTAGCTGGGGCAAGGATCATCGTCTGCAGTCCACCAAAATTCATGGAAGAAGCCCATCAAAAGTTCAGATTTAGCATCAAACTGTCCCCACTCCAGTTACTGTTTTGAAATATAATTATATCAACTGGTGATCCTTTCCAATATAACTGTGCAAATATGACTTAACTGCAATTTAAGGCCTTACCCCAGATGCTGCGTCTTCACGTGCCTCTTAATTCCAACAATGGAGCGAAGGACTTTGCCACAGTTGGGCCACAAGCATTTGTACATCACTTTCACTGAATTCTAGAACAAAAACAACTCTAAGTTAATTCATGGCCATATATAAGTTGTGCAAAACTTAACCTCTCAGGATTCTTAACTACTGGTGACAGTACCATTTCCCTTGATTCTGTTGAAGTTAACAATTCTCAGAAAGTCTTGAGTTTTATATCAACTTTCTAAAATAAGAAATCAAAGTGACATGAAAAGTAAGTCCTATTCACATCAAAATCAATTCTACAAAATCAAAATCAATTCCACAAAATCAAAAATTCCACTGTTAACCAATCAGAGTTAAAACAGTTGCCAATAAAAATGAGAATTAGGATGGTATCATGATGATGGTGTTAAATCTTGGAAGTCCCAGGTTCAGGTCCACCTCAGGCATGGAAATTACTTGTCTCTCAGGCCCACCTAATCATAGGATATTGTTTAGGTGAAAAACTGATAGGGAGAGGGATAAACATAAAATCTTGAGGGAAAGCCAGCATACAAAAAGTCCTAACAAATAATTATTTAACAGGAATTAATGGAGTGAATAGAAACAGTAATGATGTAGCTCTGATAGTAAAAATACGAATTCTGGAAGAGCAGGCTTGTATAGGTATTTTTCTTTCTTGATCGGATAGGGAGAAATCTATATTTAGACCTGCAGCTTCTATGGAACAATTCCTTCCCTATCTTATGGTCATATTATGTACCTTCCTTTTCCTTGGAGCAGGCTCTTCGAAGACAAAGGGATCCGAGTCCGTTTCAAAGCCATCATCAGCCCGAGGAGAACTGAAGGCCTCGTTTGAGTACTTGGGGCTGGCCTCTGAGTGTGGGGGAGAAGGGGTGGAGATGCCACTCCAGTGCCCGCTTGTGGTACTGCTCCCACCATCTGACATGTCACCGCTCTCTTTCCAGGCATCACAGGTTGCTTGGGATGCTGAAGACAGGACGAGAGGATAAACAGGTGAATCATCGTTTTATTGAGCTCTTGAGCAGTTAAGTTTAGCACTTTCATCTTTTTTACATAGAGAAGAGTGGGAAGCCACGACCCTTTTATGACTTCTGAACTCCTAGAATTTCTGAGCCAAGGGCCATGGTTCCCCATCCCTGACAAAGGCACAGATGGAGGGAAGTGGTACCGAACAGAACAGAATAGAATATATGGAATGGAATGGAATAGAACGGAACAGAATAGAACAGAATAATAGAGTTGGAAGGGACCTTGAAGGTCTTCTAGTCCAACTCCCTGCCAAGGCAGGAAACCCTATACCACTTCAGAGAAATGGTTATCCAACATCTTCTTAAAAACTTTCAGTATTGGAGCATTCACAACTTCTGGAGGCAAGTTGTTCCACTGATTAATTGTTCTAACTGTCAGGAAATTTTTCCTTAGTTCTAAGTTGCTTCTCTCTTGATTAGTTTAGCAATGGATACTGCTTCTTGTCCTGCCCTCAGGTTCTTTGGAGAACAGCTTGACTCTTTCTTCTTTGTGGCAGCCCCTGAGATATTGGAACACTGCTATCATGTCTTCCCTAGTCCTCCTTTTCATTAAACTAGACCTACCTAATTCCTGCAACCATTCTAGAAGAGGTAGGCCAGTTTAGATTACATTATTCTTAAAGTAGGCAGGAAATCAGCATAATTCATAATAATTACTTGCCTCCCAAGAGCTTGCCAATTGAAGCACAATGTGGCAAGAAAATCTGTGTTTCCATACAGTAGTCTGCTTTTTACTGTTAGCATTTGAAGTTTTAAAACAAACACAAAAATATTCATATTGCAAATTTTGCTAAGAACAGGAAATGTGAGAAACTGAAAAAAGTCACCTAAACTTGCTTCCCTGTAATTTACTAACAGGGAACAGGGGAGCCGAAAGAACGTAACAGATTATTAACAGATTATTTTAGTGTTTTGTTTATAGTGGCCCTATTCTATAAAATAGAATGCGAATGGGATTTTGTACAAAATATATATATAATTCTGAATAATCTACCTTTTTTAATGTTAGGAAAAACTTGGTTAAAAAAGCAGTAAAACTGATTATCAAGGGAGGTGATAATCTCCCTTTCTTTAGAGGCAATCATCCAGAAACTGGACAAATGACTGCCAAGGATGCTTTAGATTTTTGCGCTGAGCAGAGAGAGGGTTGGATTTAGTTGCTGAAAGGATCCCTTCCAGATGGGTTTAAACTAGGGGTCTCCAACCTTGGCAACTTTAAGACTTATGGACTTCAACTCCCAGAATTCCTCAGCCAGCTTTGCTTAACAACTTGCTAGACTAGGCTAAAGCAGGGCTGCTTAGTTTGTTGTTCAGTGTTAAAACCTAGCCATTAATTTAAATGTTGTGTGAAACTAAAATGTTACATTTTGCCACAATATTGTGACACATTATATTATCCTTAGATTCTTTAAAAATTGGTTCATCTTCCCCTTTACATCAAATGTAATGGTGCCTTTTCTGGTGTTCTTTTTAAAATAAATCATTCTATTGATGCTGAATATCTTGTTACAACTCTTTTTCTGAGGCATTTTATGAACTGATTAAATCTCAGCTGAGATTTACTGATCATATTTTCACAATGCAGCCAGGAAAACTAGCCAGAAAGGAATACAAACTCACAATGGATCCATACCAGAAGTAACACTATGTTAAGTGTAAATCATACAGAGATAATGAACCAAGAATTAAAGACTTTAAACTGCAGGGCGGAGGAAAGAAATCACATAGTAGAATTGCTCTTTACAGAACAAAAACTGATGAGTTCTAGACAAATAGATTCCATCTTAGAAGGAGACATCCAGCTCCAAAGCCTAACTTGGTTCTTATACGCACATTTAAGAATCCAAAAACAGCCTGGCATAAATTTTGATTAGTGAATGGAACACCTGTACCAAACTTATCTCTTTATCCAAAAATGCAATATAATTGTGTCTAAGAAGTAAAAAAGCTTGACTCCAAATGACTTTATGGGCATGGCCCTACAGTTTCCATGGCCACAAAACAAAAGTGGACTGCCACTTTCAGGATGTTGTGTGGACTTTCCAACCTAGCCTACATCCCTGGCGTTCCCTGACAGCCTCCCTTTAAAGTACTAACCAGGCCCAACCCTGCTTAGTTTCCAACTCAGAGTAAGTTTACAAAATTCTGCCACCTACTGAGACTACAGTCCTATCAACATTTTCTGAGACAAAATTCTGCTGAATTCAATAAAGATGAATTCATATTTTCATATATAACATTTCTCTGTAAAATTGGAATCGGGAAGGGAATGACAGGAAAAGCCACAGGATATTCCACCTCTTCTCAGTTTCAGAAGCCTTTTCACACCTTCACTGCCAGTCCAGCATCCAGACATACAGGCCTGGCTGCCCTAGTTTTGACTCTGAAGCACCTGCATTTCCCACACTGGAATGCTCCTATTTTTAAACAGACACATAGAGGGTCCAAAGAGGCTTATGGGAAGTGCCTCCATATAAAGACACTGGCTCCTCTTGGTGCCTATTACTCCCGTAATAGGTCTGAGCATCCAACTGGAAACGGCAGCCAGGGGTTGGATTACACAACTCCCTCCCTCCACTGAGACTGCAGACACCCATTCCTAATCCAGCCAGCTGTTTTTCTAGCAATTCTCCAGTGGCTGGGTGTACTGGAGGGATTATAGGTAAGGTTTTACTGCTTGCCACAAACAGCCAGTCTCAAGGGATTCTACTTGCAGGCTTCTCACAGACTGTTTTGCAAAAAAAAAAAAAGTTCTTCATGATCTTCTTCCTAGTTTGTAATTATAGCTTGAGTAAATATGAAATGGCAAAAACATTGAATTTGGCTCAAACTTAGTAGGCAAAAGGATATTTAAAGAGATTTGGTGGTCTGAAAGAGGGGTGGGCAGTACCCTTTTCCCACCTACCAGTTTATCCTCACAATCCCATTCCTACTTTTGGGGACCCCCTGCCAAGATAGGTGGTAGCGTTCAAAAACCTAAGTATTTAAACTTATTAGTATTTTGGTAGAGAAGGATCAGGAAGTATTATGACAGTATTATAGGCTGGGTATTCAAACAAATCAAACTAGAAGGCATATTCAGCAACTCACAATTCAAATCAGCCACAAATTAACTCATCTCCCTGAATACCACCACAATTTATCTAAGAATATCAGCCAATCAGTATTGATTTCTTCCCTCTGACATGCAACATGCTGAGCTTACAGCCCCCTCTTCTGGATTCTAGTCCCATAAATTCAGAAATTGATAAAAATTAAAGGAGAAAGAGGAACAAAAGTTTAAAGAATTGGGGGAGAGGGCGGGATTCAAGAATCTATATACACACCCAACAGAGGCTATGAACTGGCCTCTCTACCTGTGGGTGTTTTTGTGGTGATTTGTGAAGCTACACAACTAGGTGCGAACAGCAGCCTACCTATGGGAACTACACAGTGGTATTTTTTTTACTACTGGTTCTGTGGGCATGGCTCGGTGGGCATGGCAGGGGAAAGATACTGTAAAATCTCCAGTCAGAAGTGGTATTTGCCAGTTCTTTGAACTACTCAAAATTTCTGCTACCGATTCTCCAGAACTGGTCAGAACCTGCTAAATACCACCTCTGGAACTACATCTTCCTCATTTCATAATGGCATATCAATACTCTGGTATATTTTCTCTACATAACCCACAAGTGTTGTGCTGGTTTTCATAATTAAATCCTTATCTTCAGGCTTTGAAACATGAGCCAAGAGGTAAGGGATATGGCAAATGGAAACAGCCATTCAAGAAAATAGAAGAATCATAGAGTTGAAAGAGACCATACGGATCATCTTTTCAAACTAAGCAACTTTAAGGTATGTGGGTGGGCTTCAACTCCCAGAATTGCCCAGCCGGAAGGTCTAAGAATCCTAACCTTCAATGTGCACAAAAATCAATTAAACTGGGAGGCAGCTATCCAACATCTTAAAATTCTCTAGAGATGGAGAAACGACCACCTCCACCTTTTGAGCTATTTTCCTGTTGTATAGATTTTACCATCGAGTGTTTCCTTATATTTAACTGAAATCTGAATAGCTACAACTAATATACATTATTTCCCAGGTTTCTTCTAGAGCCATGGATAAACATTCATGGCCATCTTCCTTTTTAAGTATCTGAACTTGACTATTATGCGCCCCCTAAGTCTTCTTTTCTTCAGATTGAACATCTCAAGTTTGTTCAGTCTGTTCTCACAGAACATGTTCTCAAATCAGCATTCTCCTATAGTGGAAGGAAGCGAAAGATAATAAATAATAATAATAATAATAATCCCTTTCTTATTTTCTTAGGAGCCAAGGAAGAAGAGCATTTCAATGTTTTGCAGCAGAAATGGTGAGCATCAAGGAGATGTCAGAAGCAAGGTATTCTCCTTATGTGCTAGAACTCAGGAACATGGGACAGTCTCTGGGGAAACTTGCTCATGCATTCTTCATCAAGAGGAACAAGAACTGCAAAAGTGCCCTATAGACCATCTTTCCTTATCCCTACTCTGCAACTTTTAAACAGTTCACCAGACAATATTAACAAATTCACTTTATGTCAGGATATTTTGGGGCAGATCTTCAAGAGTTCGGAAACGTCTGAAATGCTAAGTACATAAGAGAGCCAGAATGTCAGGCAAAAAGGGTTTAGTAAAATCATGGTAAAGAGAGAAGAGCTGGGACGGAAAATCTGGTAGAACCTTAGAAGGTATCAAAAGGGGACTTGGTTAACTATGATGAGCACTTCATTCTTAAACCTCACAGCTGGAATAAATATTTGGATCTGAACTGGGTATGGCCTACTTTTGAGAAAAACTTGTCCAGGACATAAGAAAGAGATATGTGAGCCGTTTAACACGAAGAAAGCTAGAAAGAAATGAGTGCTTTAGAAACACTGATTTAAGGCAGATAGCCAAGAATCCCAAAAGACTAAAGAAGTAGAACAGAAAAGTTGGATCTCCCTGAAAGCTGAATTGAACAGTCTGCGTGTTGGCCAAGGCACTTGGGTTGCTATTCTACTCCCTTTATTTATGCCATTTTCTTTTTTCCACAACTTCTAAAATTGAGTTACAAAGTGGCCCAACAATTAAAAATCAACAAGTATGAATAACACTTACCCCAAAAAAGGCTCTTCAACAGAATTAAAATACTTCCAATTAAAATACAGAAGTTTTCTTAATGACTTTTTAAAAAAAAAAACAAAGGAACTCAATTCTCTGACATTAGCATCATCAGAGACAGAATTCTCCCCTGCAATCATTGTTACAGGGTGGAAATTTCATATCTATAATTAATGGACATTTTTTTAATCAGACTCATTTGCATTATTTTTTTAAAATAAGCTGAAAACTGCTCTGTGCACATTAGCCTAATATTCCAGCTCCAGATTGCCCACATTATTGCCTCAAAAAAAGAAAAGCTAAGATATTTTTGTGGATAACCTAAATTCTCAGGTGTATTCAGGAAAAAGCAAATACTGAAACATCAGTGTTCCAAATAATAACTCCCAGCTTGGCATTCTCCAAATGTGCTGGAACTATCCAGAATCACCAGCCAGCAAGGCAGAATCCTGGAATTTGCATTCCAACAACAACAGGAAAACATCCATTTGGGCTGATACAATTAAGTCACTGTGGCCCCAGAGTGTTTTCACTGCATGCGCTAAAACAGGTGTTGTTGTTTTTTGGCACAGAATGCCAAATGGCCATAAGAGGCCCTTTGCCATCAAACTTACCTGAGATGCTGGCATCATTGTTAGGAGGACTCTGTACCACAGGGCTACAGGATAAGCTGGTTAACACCATTGCTGCCATCATCTCATCCATCTCTACTGCAGCATCTGGTTTCCTGCAATGAGAGAAGGAGGGGGAAGGATAAGATGGTTCCTCCAAAAAGAATCAACAGACCAACTATCCTAGCAAAGACGTTGCTCACCAGACAATTCCATCTCAAGTGCTTCATGCCTTTTGCATTTGTTTTCTTGCAAGACTTTCTTCCTCCGGCACAAATTAATTGTTTAAAAAGCAACCAGTAAAGCATTTTGATCAAAGTCTCAACTTTTAAACAAGCCATTAACAACCACAAATCCAAGTGAATCCAGGTGTTTTCTTCTGGATCAGCACAAGATTTGTACTCAGGAAAGCGCTCCTGTCTCTTCCATCTCCAGGATGAAGATTTCTAAAGGGAGTTTTTAACAAGAACAACTCCACCCCTTCCCTGCTGGTCATAAAGCATACCTCAGGAAAAGCTTCCACTGTCAATTTTAAAAACAAGCAGACCAGAGAAGTATTGGGAATTTCTTATTTATTAGGAGCCTGTTATAATTTTGGAGGGGCTGGGCCTCAAGGAAAGTGTGCAGGTAGAAGAGTTCTCTACCCACTGGGGTGAAAAATAAATTGTAGTAGTTTCCTAAAACACCAGAAAGCTGAAACATATCAAAGCAACATGACTGTTTCAATTGGACAGTAGCAGGTTAAGCTTTTAGATCAATTCTGTTGGCATTATTGCCTCATTTTTTTTTTTGTTCTTAATTCATTTTGCAGCATTTAGGATTTATTTGTTTACTTACTTTATTACAGTTTTTATAGGCTGCCCCAGCCTCTACGGATACAGGGCAGCAGCAAAAGACTTTCTAAAATACAATCATTACGAACAAATTATAACAACAACAATACTACCATTTATAATGGCTGCTCAGACATAATATAATGGCCAAAAGCCCTGTGCAAAACATAATACAACTTAAACTTGCTTTTATAAAGCAAAGAGGAATGAAGCTCTCTATCCTTCCAGGAGTAGCTCGTTTCATAAAGAGGGGCCACTATCAAGAAGGTCTATCATATAGCCCACACCTTAGGTACCCTGCATGGAAAAAGGACTCAATTTAGATCAGGGTCTCCAACATTGGTAACTTTAAGACTTGTGGACTTCAACTCCCAGAGTTCCTCGGCCACCTCTGGCTGAGGAACTCTGGGAATTGAAGTCCACAAGTCTTAAAGTTACCAAGGTTGGAGACCCCTGATTTAGATAACCCTACCAAAGAGGCAAATTCTAGGTTGGCAAGACACTGCTGGTTATAGCTCAATATTGACAAGTAGAGGGCTTTAAAAGTAATGGCCAGCACTTTGAATTGGGCCCTAAAGCTTACTAATAACCAGTATAGCAACTTCAAAATAGAAAAGATCCTTACCCTGGTAGAATGATCTTGACAACAATCATGCTGTTGTAATTTGCACCCCAGTGCAGCTACTGGGTTATCTCCAAACATGCTTCATGGAGCAAGTTTACAGTAGCCTAATGGGTGGATCATGGTATGAACTACTATCACCAAGGCATCTTAGTCAGGATATGTTATTTTAGTTTGTGGCTGCAAATTATTTACTCGTTTGTTTAAATTTTTATAAATACTTCCATCTACCACCCTACAGCTGAAACGGTTCATAGAGTAGCTTATGTAAGATCAAGTGCAAACAAAGCTGTATTTGCCTTTGTGTTTTCAACCTAATAAAATGAAAGGGAAAGAGAACAGCAGGGGGGAAAACTGCTTTCCACATTATGTTTCAGCCACGGGAAAAAATTTCTAAGTTATTACGGAACTGTTATTCAATATTGCATAACTACAGCCAAATGGGCATTCCAAACCACCCACCTTTTTGGTACATCAATATTCCTAGAGACCGATCTCAAACCCGATGTCACAGCCATGTCTGCTGCAGAGGTGCAATGCTCCATTACCACAGGAACTGGACTATAGTCCATTGTTGTAGGGGTTCCATGGTCCATCTCCAGTTTGGGGAGAGGTGACATCCCAACTTCAGCCAGTCTCACTTCCTCAGCTTTCCTAGTGACATAAAACCCTTTTTCCGGGAGCAATACCTTTACTTCATGACTGACCGGGTCATGGTACTCCACCAGCCCAGCACTCTCTTGGCCGTTGTAAAAGACATATACCTGTAGGGAGAAAAAGCCACTATTAGTCATAATGGTCATTCTGGTCTCCAAATGAGTTAACCTGTTTTCCATTTTTCCTAACATAAACAAACCAAACCAAAACCAAACCTAACAAAAACTATAAGCCAAGTATTCAAATGGCACTCTATGTTCAGAGGCACTCTATGCTGTGGCCGGTTGGCCAGCAGCCCCTCCAGCAGCCGAATCAGAGGAGGCGCCACGTGGGAGTCAGAGTCAGCATCAGAGCAACTTGGGTGGTGAGGAAGAGGGAATGGAGCTGGCAAAGAGAGAGACAGAGGCGGAGCCTAGGCCATCCATCAGCCCTCAGATGGAGAGTAAACAGTCCCCAGGTCTGGAGGTGGCTGATGAGGAAAGGAGGAACAGCTGGGTCCAGTGCCTAACGCGCAGATGCACAGAAGGCAGAGAAGAGGAGAGCAGTGGAAATCCATGGGACGACCTTTGGGATGGAAGAGCCACCTGTGCTAGCGAGGCTCCATCCTAGGTCTGGGGATAAAAGGCAGGGGATAGAGATGAATAAATGTAGCAGACAACTATTCATCTTCCAGTTGGACTGACTTGTTAGCCTGCATTGAGAGAGAAACTTTTTGCCGGGGCTTCTGGCGCTCCTAATAAAGGAATCTTTTGAGTTAACTTCTGTTTGGAGTGCTGGATCAGAACAGCAATGAACAGGGGTAGCTATGGTGCTCAAGCTTGTAAAGCAGGGATCCCCAATCCCCTGTCCATAGACTGGTACTGGGCATGCCAGAAACTGGGACACATAAACAAGTGAAGCCCCATCTGCTGGATGTAGGCAGCACACAAACCACGCCTCCTCCGGTCCGTGGAAAAACCTCTCTCTACAGAACTGATCCCTGATGCCCAAAAGGTTTGGGGCTGCTGTTATAAGGCAACTGGCTGACCATCATCAAAGAGAAGATACTAACCAAATTTAATTTGAAACAAATTCAGAATTTCAATGCCTTATAATGGAAGGGCTTCAAAAATGCATTTCCAGAGCCCCAAATAACAGGAAAGGCGCAGCTTTCTTTCACTGAGATATGTGCTCTGCAGCCAAAGTCATATCTACATGACCAGCATGTGATGTATTTTGCACTCTAGTTCAACTTCTAAGTGAAAAGGACACACTGTGATTATCAGCTGACTTTCCATCAGGCTTTGTCAAATCTCTCAAAGAGTGTCAGAACAGATGAATAAGCAAAAACTCATGAAAACTCTCCAACCATTCCTTTGCTCATACAAAAGCACATGCAATCTAGTAAGATAGCGCAGGTCATCTGGTTAGGAAAGGAGAGCCAGAAAGAGAATGACTAGCCCATGCTTGGGTAGTCCAGGGAAAGATGGTCTCTGCAAAGGTCTTTCCCGTTTGCTGCTTAACTTCCTAAAGTCTATTTTTGTATGTAATTTTATCCAGGCTAAGAGGGACACTCTTTGAGTTATTCCTGGGGGTGTTATTTATAGAGGGATCCTAATTGGGGAAGCTGTAGTGACCCCGCTGTTCTGAAAAAGTGGAGTGACAGGATCTCTAATGCTTCATGAAAGATATATGCATTAAGTCACAGGTGTGTGGTTGCCTCATGCAGCTCAGTACAGGGTCCAGTAGGACTCTTGACATCTCCCTAGAATCACTACTATGCCTCTGCTTCTTTTTGCTCTGCGGCTGTGTGTGCAGGAAGGGAAGGAGTTTGCCCAGATACTTCCTACTTTGGGGTGAGCAACTATGGCAACTTTATAAACTGTATACTTCAACTCCCAGAATTTCTGAGCCAGCCTAGGAATTTTGGGGAATTGAAGTCCACAGATTGTAAAGTTGCCATAGTTGGCCAACCCTGTCCTAATTCCTTCTAGAGTTAGGCATCCATTGAGATGAGAGGATGGAGGCCACTGTATGTATGCAGGTTAAAACGCTGCAGTTAGATCTAATGCAATGAAAATGTATTCATGATTAGGTTAATGTTCATCCTCCATCCACTTTCAAAATCTATTATAGGGCTCCTTGTGGTGCAATGGTTAAGTGCAGTACTTCATTTTTTTATTTATTTGGTTTGTCAATTGCTTACAAGATAATAGGTATAAGTAAAAACATAGTTATGAATACATGGATAACATATAAGAAAAATAAAAAAAAGAAAAGCAAACTCTGCCCACAGCCTAGAGTTCGATCCTGACATCCATAACTCAGCATTCCATCCTTGAGGTCAGTGAAATGAGGACCCGGATTGTTGTGAGCAATATGCAAATAATGCCGACATTGTAAACCACCCAGAGAGTGTTGTAAAACACTATGGGGCATTATAGCAACAGCAATAGCACTTAGAATACCACTCCACAGTTTTCTCTGAACAGTTTACAAAGTCAGCATATTGTCCCTAACCATCTGGGTCCTCATTTTATCTACCTGGGAAGGATGGAAGTCTGAGTCAACTTTGAGCCGGTGAGGATCGAACTCCGGGTTATGCCTGCAATATTGCATTCTAACCACTGTGCCACCAGGATTCCTGATATAGAAGTCTAAATGATATTGCTATTGCTAAAAGGTAAAGCAGGACAATCCATCCCAATAGATCCTTGAGGTGGGTAAGGGGAGAGACTAAGGCGGTGTGATGAACAAAATCCCACCAAACTGAAAAACTTGGGACAGGAATTCTGACAGATGGGAAGATTTGAATTCACACAATATATCAAGCCATAGTTTGAATGCACACTAAATGGGATTATATAAATGCACTACCCCAAAATCAAACACACCATATTATGGCTTAGTGTGATGGGTGAGCCAAGGTGAGAGCACAAAGGACTGGCTTTCAGATCAAGACTTCCTGAATTTAAATCCCACCTCTTCCAACTGGGCCAGTCTAGAGTTATTAAGTCTCCCTCATGGGAGAAACACAGTGGAGGTCAAGGTAAAGTGGAAGAAAAACCATGATTCCAAGCCTCTGAAGGAAAAGGGATCCTCTGAGCCACGATGGCACAGTGGTTAGAGTACAGTACTGCAGGCTACTTCTGCTGACTGCCAGTTGCCAGAAGTTGAGCAGATAGAGACTCACGGGCTCAAGGTTGACTCAGCCTTCCATCCTTCCGAGATGGGTAAAATGAGGACCCAGATTGTTGGGGGCAATCTGTAAACGGCTTAGAGATGGCTGTAAATCACTGTGAAGCAGTATGTAAGTCTAAGTGCTATCTATGCAGGTAGTTCTTAACTAAGCCGTTCATTTAGCATTCAAAGTTACAATGGCACTGAAAAAAAAGTTGATTTATGACCAATCCTCACACTTACTGTACAACCGTCGCAGAATCCCCGCAGTATAACGTGATCAAAATTTGGGGCTCTTGACAAACTGGCATCTATTAACAATGGTTGCAGCATCCCAAAGTCATGTGATCACCATTTGCAACCTTCCCAGTTGGCTTCAAGTTACAGAAATTCCTTCACTTACGACCACAACTGAGCCCCAAGTTTCCATTGCTAAACAAGACATTTGTTAAGTGAATTTTGCCCCATTTTACGACCTTTCTTGCCACATTTGTTAAGTGAATCACTGCAGTTCTTAAAAGTTAGCAACATGGTTGTTTAGCAAATCTGGCTTCCCCTTTGACTTTGCTTGTCAGAAGGTCATAAAAGGGATCACGTGACCCCCAGAACATGGCAACCATCATAAATACATGCTAGTGGCCAAGTGGCCAAATTTTGATTATGGGACCATGCGGATGCTGCTGTAATGGTTGTGTGAAAACCGGCCATATGTCACTTTTTTCAGCACTGCTGTTAACTTTGAACGGTCATAAATGAAATGTTGTTAAGTCGAGGATTACCTGTATGTCAATGGTGGAAGCTGGAGTTGCTTAATGATAGCATGATAACCTTAGCAGCAATGAAATACTTTGTTGTTAAGTAACTTGTTTAACAATCGTGGCCAAAAAAGGGTTGTAAAATTGGGCCCAACTCGCTTAACAAGAGCCTTGCTTAGCAATGGAAATTCTGGTTCCATTCTTGTGGTCGTAAGTTAAGAACTAGTTATAATGTGATCAACAGATAAGGGAGAACGCCAGGTGCCCATTGTAAGCAACCTCCATCTACAAGGCTGCTACAGAACATCACCCACCTGCAGGAGTGGGAACAACTCCAGTGGTAGAACTCCCAAAGGGAGGTCTGTTCATATTTCAGCCAAAGTTTGCTGGTTGGTTGAACTGTTTGCTTTGCTTAGCCTTGGGTGACATGCAGCTGGGACCTTGCAGAATCTACCCACGCAATCCTGAAAGCTGTTGTGGCACCTTCTGAATCAGGCCATATATATCCCAAAGCCTTAGACCCCCACCCCCACCCAGAGCCCCTCCAAATTGTCTCCAACTTTATTTTTAATATGACAGGAGAGGCATACAGGGAGTAACCAATAATGTATTTAGTTTAATTTGATTTAATTGATGATATACTCAGCTAAATTAGTGTAAGTAATACATTCAAATATGTAATAAATATACTGTCCATTAATTTATGCATCTTATACCTGCCTCCTTCTGGAAGGCAGTTCCTAGCAAGCCAACTATTAAATACAATCCCCCAAACAGTGTGCCCTGGCTCCAAATAGCAACTCACCTAAGCAAAACAATGCTGGCATTTACAAGCTGAGGGGAAGGCCTATTTTCATTTGGTCAGCTTTTGAGGATATAGTTTTGTTTCATAAAGCTCCCAAATACTTTTAGGCACTGACCACGCTGAGTCTGTGGATGAGTGATTTTGAATGCATTCTTTTTATAGTCCACTAACTCCAGCAAAAGACTTGGAACCAGAATTATTTTTATAGAAATTCACAATAGGATTACTTCACATTTCCTCTTATTCTGCAATGCCACCCAACGTTTCTCTCTGTATCATCGTCCTCTAATGCCACCTTAATTTCACACTTTTTTAACCCAACCTTCCCCAAGCTGGATCTTCCAGAAAGGCTGGGCTTGGTGCCCATCACTGCCAGTCGGTATTTTCCATTTGGAAAGCAACCTGTCCTTGATATTTAACAAAGAAAACAGGAAATTAGCCCCAAGGAAAAGAAAGAACATGCCACATTTTAAGTAATCCCTCCTTTTCCCCCCCAAATATCACGAGCATCACTTTGCATAATAGCAAAGGAGAGAATACAAAATAACTCGTATGCAATCAAGCTCTTAAATCTATGGAAGTTTGTTGGAAATTCTACCATGTGCAGCTAAATCTGCAACTTTAGAGTACATTAAATCCCCAAGTGACACAAGACACTAAAACTTATCCTTTATCTTTTGGGATTTCGAATGAATAAAGCATTGGAACAATAGCCTGTTCCACTTGATTCATTTGCAAAACTGCAAAATCGCTGTCCATTATTTCTACAAGTATCATATCAGATCTATAAATGGGTATCAATCGGGAAGAGGGTCTCTCATCTGTTGTTGCACCCATTCTTTGAAATAAAGAACACATTGTTAGTCACTAGCCAAAAATATGACCTCCAATTCACCTCCATGCTTGAGCATTCGTAATAGTGCAAATGGGAACTATACGTTGCCATTGTTACATTACTTTATATGGTTTAGGGAGGTATTTTATTTTTTATATGTAACATAACATAATATACAACACAACACAATATAGAGGGGGGAAGGAAGGGAGGGAGAGGGAGAAAGAGGGAGGGAGTGGTCACTCCACTGCCTTTGCATTTAAGGCAGGATTAGAACTCAGTCTTCCAGATTCTAGTCTGATGCTTTTAACTACCTATAATACGCTGGCTGTGAGCAGGTAACATAGGAAGACTAGAAATAAAGACTAACTCAACTTTTGACATCATTGGCTTAGGACAGATGTGATTCACTTCCTTCCCATAGGTCTACCTGTAATTCACATTACCTCAGCCAGTATGGTCAAAGTGATGTGATGGGGGTGAGCCATTTACACAGCACCGAGACAGAATAGGCATCTTATAGCAATTCAAATAAACTGTAAAGCCTGACATGAAAAGTTTGTTGGTATAGAAATAAAATAGTTTCCTTCCTCTCAAAAATCCTGTTGTTTTTTTAATATTTGCAGATACGTCTGTAAATATTAGCTCAACAAAAGTCCATAACAACCACCGATTTGTTGTATGGTTGTTGCCCTTGAAACCAGTTCATTAACTTCAGCTCCTGAAGAATTTGGCTACTAGAATTTCAGTTGTAAAACTCTGAGGTGATTTCTCCAACCTAGCGAATTATGGGAGTTGTAGTCTAAACATATCTAGAGGATACCAAGGTAGGAAAAACTGATATACCACAAGGTTTAAGGAATTAAATTGCTTTCCTATTTAATTTCTAAGCCCAAGTTAATGTATAGAAACCAAAATATGTCAAACAGCAAGCCTTTCATTATTCAATCCATTGGTTAAGACTTTCTCCAAGTACCATCAGCCTAAGGAACACTTTACACATTATAAATGACACAGAATTATCCACAATAGCACTAACTCTGAAATGTGTCTCAAGGGTGACACAATTGGTGTCTGTCTGTCTGTCTGTCTATATCTTGCTGACTGAATAACTATATGCTTGTTATGCAATGTATTGCTTGTTATTACAACATTATGTTTCTTTTTAATACTAGCATTTTTGAGATGAAAGGTGGTTTATAGTCATCACCACTAAATTCAGTACCTTTTGGCCAGGTTGCAGCAATAGCCAATTTTGGTTCTGACTGCCAGAGGCTTCAACGTGTTCCTTGAAGCGGCCATCTTCATATGAAAGGGTGTTCTGATGTGAAGATGCTCTGGTGTGTTCCAGCTGCAAGGGATGAACCTGAGTTGTCATCAGCATCCCATCCGCCAGTAAAGGGGGTGCAGAAATGCGGGCGCCCAAAAGGGACCGCTTCCCCAGCCTCCTGGATAGCACACTCGCCATCACGGACACACTGCAATCAGTAAAGAAGGAAAGGACATTAATTATAATTAATAATTATCACTAGAAGGATGGGCAATCGATAGCATGAATTATAGTGCAGCCTACAAATGAGTCTCAAACATCTCTATCCCAGCACTGGCCAAGGGTCACACTTTACTAAAGTAGGGGAAGTACAGAGGTCTCAGCCTGGCAGGGCAACACTGCAAAATGGGAAGGATCATATGTATTTGGTGAGGCCAGGATGTTTGAATTTTTCTTTAGATTTGGGGGTATTGGGGGCATTCATGGAAAGCCTTGTTAGTATGTAAACTCTTTTTTTTTTTGCATTTCCGTCACCGGAATGGCTAAAACCACATCTCTTGATGTTCAACAACAGCAGCCACAGCAGGTGTGTGGAGCTACACAGTAAAGGGCTTGGAGACCACAGTTTGCCAGTTTGGCTTCACACTTCTCAAGCACAACACTGAAGCCATCCTAAGGAAGCAGAGCCTTTATAAGGAAATCCAGACTCACAAGTACTCCACACATATACATTTTTATTTTATGGTTCCTAGAGGCCAACTTCAGGCAGCAGCTCTGAGAAAATGCAAGCAAAGCTTGCAGTACCTGAGGGGCCCAGAAAAAGTGGCCACAACATTCTTGCAAAATGTAGCTTTGTACTTCAAATGAATATACCAGCCAACATTCGCCTAAGATAGTCCAAATGAATGTGGGGCTATACATCCTTCACGGCACTGAGGGCAGGTCTTTTCAGTAGGTCTGCAGTTTGCTTTGGAAAAGTCTACAGCCCTATCACTATATAACCAAACAGGAGTCCTCAGCCATGTCAGACTGAGGAAACTATTTGGCCTGGAATCAAGCAAGGAATAGATATTACCCCGAGAAAGTTCTGCTCTCTAATTGCATCCACACATGGGTTCAAGCCAGGAATGTATTTTCAGTTAAAACAGGTTTTGTTTGCAGTTAAAGTAGTGAGGAGGAAGAGAAGAACGTTCCCTTGTGTAGACATGCAGCACTGAGCTTTTGCAAAGAATCGAGAAAGAAAGAGATTTCTGTGTTTTGCATCAATTAGGGAGTGCTTTGTGTCAAAAGACAGTTTAGGAACAGAGTAGACAAGCAAAACCAATACCCACGCATGTCCCATGGGACAGTACTGACAGGAAGCTCTAGCCCCAAAGCTCAGGAATGGCTTTTTCAGAACTCAGCAAGCCACTGCTGTGTAAACAGAAAGTTGCACTCAGAATTCAGCCTGTTGAAAAAGAAAAGTTTATGTACAACCCACCATTAGTCACAGATAATCTATAGCAGAAGAGCAAACGTGAGGTTCCTGGGCTGTACGTGGCCCCTAAAAACTCTGGGAAAGGATCCCAGAGATCTGCTTTAATCTAATTAAGATGACAGAAGATGGAAATTATTAAGTACCTAGCAGGAGTCATCCTATTAACCAGGTTTAATTGTAAGGGGATGTAAAGGAACTCAAATTCAGTTTTATTCTCCCTCTTCCCATTTCTTTTTGAACTGATCTTCCTCAAAAGGGAAAACATGGGACCCTAGCCTGGAAAAAAGCTTTGGGGGTCCCGATTATAAAAAGTCTGGAATTCATTTGAATCCAGAACTCACTCTTGGAAATTACAACAAGGCAATGACTTCAAGACAGGTGTGAAATGCCTGGCTCACACACATCACAATGATTCCCTAAAAATCTGAACTTAAAGGAGTGATAACATTGTAGTTTGTTCTTAATGTGCACGTGCAATTTCCAAGCTGGCCTGAACCACAGCATTTAATCAAGCCGAGAAAGAAGAGACAAAGAGCAATATGCAGACAGGAAGGCAGGTAGATTTTCAGCTACATAGTCTGTCTTCTTTTAAATTCTTCCCTACTCTGACAGCACTTTGGCAAACTGAAATTCCAAGAATTATTTCTGTCAAACTAGCATGTTACATTATATTTTAGATATTAATAACCTGAGAAAATCCAAGTTGCAACCACCAGATCATTGCCCCAAGGCAGCCTACAAATTAAACAAAAATGGTACAGTACAGAAATCATACAAGCAAGGATCAATGACAGAGACCTTCCCCCCGTCCCCCACAAGTTTCCTATTCTGGCCCATTAACATTATACTTTGGCATGCTCTAAGAGAGAGAGATTAGAGAGAGAGAGAGAGAGAGAGAGAGGGGGGGGGGGGGGGAGGGGGGGGGGTTGCCTGTGATTCTGGGGTCATCAGGTTCTGTACCCAGTAAGCTCCCTCCCGAGTTTAACTGAAATCTGAGCTCTGTGTTTTAATTGGTATATACAGGCTTCATTCAGACCATCTCACTTAACTCTCTTTCGTATTTGGACTAGAACTGCCTTTTCCCGAATTGGACCCTCAGATATCCTGAGATTAAAACTCCAGGAATTTGTAGTCAGCTGGTTGGAACACATCTGAAAGGGCTAACTGGGGGAATTCAGCATAGGGTTTTAACGACAATCTGGATATGACGTACAGGTAGCCCTTGATTTATCACTGTCCATTACAGTCATAAGTCATAATGGGCAGAAAAGCGGGTAACCTATGTTGAACAACCTAATTTTATGGCCTTTTTTGCAGTGGTAATTAAGTGAGTCACCATGGTTGTTAAATGAATCCATGCTTGTTAAGCAAACCAATTGCTCACTATGGGATGTTTTTGAAAAGAAAAAAAAACAAGTGGTTGGTTTTGGCAAAAATGTCATAAATTGCAGTCATATGAATAGGGGGCAGCTACCGGACCTTCAGAACTGGGTTGTAATACTTTTTGGAGAGTTATTATAACTATGAACAGTCACTAAGCAACCAGTCGTAAATCGAGAATTACCTGTACTAGTTTTTCTAATTCAGAGAGCAAGCTGGCCTACAAAAGGCAGGTTGGTTAACGCAATAAAAAGGAACATTGCAAATTATTCAGCTGAAAGTATCTTAGATATATATATATATAGAATACTTTATTGGCCAAGTGTGATTGGACACACAAGGAATTTGTCTTTTGTGCATATGTTCTCAGTGTACATAAAGGAAAAAATACATTCATCAAGAATCATAATATACAACACAGTGATAGTCATAGATTACTAATAAACAATCAAATCATACTAGGAAACAAATAAAACAATATAAATTGTAAAGATACGAGCAATACAAGCAACACAGTTATAGTCATAATTGAGAAGAGATAGGTACTAGGAAGTGTTATTATAATGTAGTAGTAGAGGAATAATTGTAATACAGTCTTAGTAAATAACTTGAGAGTGTTGTAGGAATTAGTTGTTTAGCAGAGTGATGGCATTTGGGAGGAAAACTGTCCTTGTGACTAGTTGTTCTGGTGTGCAGTGCCCTATAGCGTCATTTTGAGGGTAGAAGTTGAAACTATTTATGTCCAGGATGTGAGGGGCCTGTAGATATTTTCATAGCCCTCTTTTTGACTAGTACAGTTTACAGGTCCTCAATGGAAGGCAGGTTGGTAGTAATTGTTTTTTCTGCAGTTCTAGTTTTATCCATTGAATTCTGTATCTGTCTTATTTGGTTGCAGAGTCAAACCAGACCGTTATTGAGGTACAGATGATAGGCTCAATAATTCCTCTGTAGAATTGAATTAGCAGCTCTTTGGGCAGTTTCAGCTTTCTGAGTTGGTGCAGAAACAACATTCTTTGTTGTGCTTTTTTTGATGACATTTTTTATATTAGATGTCCATTTTAAGTCTTGAGATATGATAGATCCTAGAAACTTGAAGGTCTCTACTGTTGATACTGTGTTGTCTAGTATTGTAAGAGGTGGTTGTATAGGAGGGTTTCTCCTAAAATCTACGGCCATTTCTACGGTTTTGAGTGTATTTAGTTCAAGATTGTTCCGGTTGCACCACAAGGCTAGTTGTTCAACCTCCCGTCTGTATGCAGATTCACTGTTGAATCGAATGAGACCAATCACTGTTGTATCATCTGCAAACTTGCAATCTGCAAACTAGCTCTGAGTAAGTTCTATTTATTGATTTCATCTGTGCAATGAGGTTGCTTCAATTCTGCCTGGTAGATGTACTGCCTTCATTATAGTATTGCTCTGACAAGTTAAGAACTGGGTGAAATCACAGGTTTGAATGCTTTAGAAGTAGTTACAACAACTATACCTTTAAAGGCTGCTTATCATAATACAATAGTTGTTAGAGATTCTACAATAGTAGAATCTGAGATTCATATCCTTGTGATTTAGCAAGATAGTTTGGAATAATAGTAATATTTTTATCTTCAGAACTAGGAAAACAAGTTAGAATTTCTCTCCTGGATATACTACCTATTTAAATGTGGGGAAGGGAGTAAAAATTTTCTTTAAAAAGCCTCTTTAAGGATTTGACATTTGAGGAGTTGTAGTCATGTTCATCTCCTTGTTTTGATGCTTGAGCAGGCTCTCCTGAACAGTAAATGGAAAAAAATGGGAAGCAGGTTAAGAAAAAAGGAGGCTTGGCCAAGTTTTCTTCTTGGTTCCTGTTCCATTCCTCACTTCCAGATTCAACCCTCTCAGCACACAACGTATTTTTTTTTTCTGGCAAACCTAACTGCAAGATATGGATCACTGGATGGGGAAATGGATAAGATTAGCTATTCCATACCAGAAAGGCCTCAACCCACTCTGTTCCACACAGAGTTACAGCAAGGCTGATCCCACAAGATAGGATGGTTGCCATCTAATTCTTCTGAAACCAAGTTCAGCGAACTTCAACATCCCAAATTAATGACACCAATTTACACTCCTCTACAAAATTATATTAGCTAGCAATGCAGGCTGAGATCTAAAACATCTGGAGAGCATCCTTTAACAGTACAGATTACCTAAAACTATGAATCTTATTTTTAAGTAAATTTTCAAAATTGGGTCACATTTTTAATTTATTTTTCCCCTTTAACTACACTGTAATCCTTTGCATTGGGGTGGAGTCAGGGTGACTAAATGGAGCTGAGAGCTTATTGGCTGGATGCCCCTCCTGACACCTACAT